ATCCACCAAAAAAAGAAATAACTAAGACTGAATTTAGTCTCACGCTCACCGTCAGCGCTCATAGATCAGCGCGTAGTTCATCAGCGCTGAGGCTCAGCGTGGCTCATTTCAGTATCGTACTGCCTTTACTGTACAGACGAAGACCAAAATGCGTAGTGTATTAGTTATTGCTGCTTTGTACTACCTATCTCAAAAAAATAAAAACCATCGACGACGAAGACTCCATGTTCTTCCATTGATTGAGCAGAGAGCCGTTGCAGGAGACTTTGTCTTGTTATATGGCACTTTGAAGGCTGACGTCCTCCCAGGCTTTGTTTCTTGCATCTTTATTTTTGTAGAGTGGATCGGATGCATCCCACAATTTCTTCCTCAGGCGTACCTCGTCGATAACTCGACCTGTATCCACTTCGCGATTTGCCATGACTGTACACGCTGACGACGTCAGCTCGGTTCGACACTACAACGCTCACTGAAAGCAGAGGCGCTCTAGCGATCGTCAGCGCTGACAGCTACGCGCTGATAGCTACGCGTCATTCAAAAACGCTTCCTAGAAGTTCATATATCTCGACCATCAGCGCCGACGGTGCGCGTGCGGTCGGCGTGAGACTAAATTCAGCCTAACATCGGTCCAGCCGATCTTGAGTTATAAGTGGTGTAACTAACACGACTTTGTTTTATATATTTAATAGATTAAGAGTTTACGCTACGGAAGCTCTAACCCTCAGTTTCAGTGACTGGTGTGTACCTAATAATACGAGATATTTTTATTATTTTCAGGTTACTGCATGCCTTGAATGTTATTACATCTATAAAACAGAGTAAACCTCCAACAAAGCCACATGGGGTTTCACAATTCTTTCAACCATTTAAAAATGATAGACTATTATTTTATACTTTTGTTACATTTTTAACTGTACTAGTTTTGTACTATTTAACAAAGGACTGGAAAGGAATCACCGCCCCCGAAGAAATTGATTTAGGATCGGTTAGAATTTTATCCCGTCATCACAGAAGACATACACGGAGGTGTCACGAATACTAGTTTCAAATGTAATTTTACTATAGCAAATTATAGTCTATAATTTTTTTATACTTGTTTAATTTTATTGACAGAGACAATAGAATGATTCGCCGTCACAATATGGGCGTACAGTGGCCCTAGACAAGTATGTTTCGCAACCATTAATGTTGGCCTAATGGCTAGGGTATGCGACCCTTTCATCTATGGTCATGCAACCCTCTAGTCTATGCCCATGCGTTCGAACCACGGCTCAAACTCAAACTCAAAATAACCTAATTCATATAGGTAACAATGTAAGTTCACTTATAAACATCAATACAAAAAAGCTTAAATTAATTCTAAATTTACATTTACTACCTTCGCAAGTCAAGGGCGTAGAGCGGGCAAGAAGAACTGGCATGAAACTCTTCGCCACTCTTTTTAATCACCAAGTTTTGAGTCATACAAATTGTTTGAACTGAAACAAATCAATTCCAATGATTTGAATCATTTAATCGTCAAATTTATAAAAAGATTTATTGATTAATATACGTTTAACGAGAGTTTTGAATTAATTCAGAGATAATTCTGTAACCTCTTTAATTTTGGGAGTTCTTAAAAACGAATACAATTTCCATATGTGGAGTGGTTTATCTTCTGGAGCCTGGTTGGTCGTACCCTTAGTTTTGTTTTGTTTCGAGTATTATACGAACTTATACGAGGGTTTCCTCACGATATTTCTCTCGGATGCCTTAGAACTATAAGTCGGTTGCATGTGTCAGGCACAAAAGGCTGATGACACAAAATGAAATGATACAACCGTAAATTATTAGGTGATTATTAATGGGACATGATAATTTGGAGTTTAGGGAGGTGTAAAAAACTCAAAACCCAGTCATATTTTATAATAACTATATTTAACATTCGGAGTGTATTGAAGTTATAATTTTAAAGTAAAGCAATCAATAAAGACTACGTGGGACTTAGGGTCTGTTTCACAATTTATGGATAAAGTACCAAATAGCTATGCAACACAAATTATTTGGAAGATAAATTGTGCTATTTGACATTCATCGGACTCATAACTTATGATGGGCTTTATGTGACGAATAGCGCTAGTGTTTATCCTACCAATAAGTAATAAATAGCTAATTTGGAACTTATGTAGAACTTATCCGTACATTGTGAAACAGACGCTTAGTCAAGATGCCTTATCAGTAGAATAAGCCAATGTGACTCTATTTAATGTATTGTCCAGCTCATAGACATTGAATATCTATCTAGTCACTCTAATCGAAGCATTTTACATTAAATACAGAGAAAAGGGTATCAAATTACCATATAGCATATGGCAGCTAAAAATAATTTGAAAATTGTCTGCTTTCCTTTGTTTGTACATAAAATCTAAATACGTTGTAATTGCAAGATATTGTAATACCCTAAGGTCTTAACTATTTGTGTTCCGGGAATTACTAGGGAATTGTAAATAAAACATATGATGTATGTATAGCCTATCATATACATTTATAATTTAATAACGAATGATTATGTACCTATAATACAGTAGTCAATGATAATATCGTGAGAACGTATACAAATATAAAATAATAGTATTGTAAAATCTGTGTAAATGCACCATTGATTCTATCCAATTGTCGCATCAAGCAATTTTAATTCCTTATAAACTAAAGTGAGATTTGCAAAGCACACTGCTTGCTTTAGCCCTCTGTCATTCACACTGGTAGACGCAAGTCCATACAGTAATCCCTCTTGAACTAACAGATCTCCAGCTCTCACGGGACACTTATCCAAGTCCTTAACACAGATCACACTATCGTATTTGAAATTGCCGACATCTGTGGAATTGTCTATATTGTCAACTGTCACAAGTTGAAGTGACAACGATCGCCCGCCACGAAATGGCCGTCCTATTATTAGGGCTTTATTTTTAAAATTGATATTTTTTCCGATTTTAATGTAAGTAGCGCATCGGGACAGATCTTCAAAGCTCGATAAGAGTACTAGGGCCTTCGTAATGACGCCGTCGTGTGGTATCACTTCGAAAACATCCACGGGAAAACCTTTTTTACATTGAGGACTGTAAAGATATGAGATATGATTCTACTAGCAATATATATATTAAAATAAACTAGGTAAATTGGGATGATACAGACAGAATGTAGTAAATGTGTAAACTAGTCGTGTAGAACGTTAAAATGTATTTTAAAAATTACTTCCTAATTGCTTCTATTTGATTCCTACCATAAGACATTTGCTTCCTTAGTATCTTGGGAGAACCATAAGAATTAGTATGTCATACACACTTATAGTTAGGCGTTCTCTAGACTGTTACTACCTACCTACCTTTGTTTATTTAAATAAACTTATTTTTAACAAAATAATTTTGCCTGTATATTTTTACCAGGCGCTGGGGGGAATTATAATAACATTGTTGGATATCTTAATTCCATTATAGGTACAGCATCGAGGTTTGAATTTCTAGGAAGAAGCAAATAGGAAGCAAAATATGAACTATGAATTAATTGATAATTCATTGTAGTGAGTACAATAGGATAGGTGACCAGCCATTCTGACGTCAGAATGGACGGTCACTTTAAATCTGTTTTTATAATTCTTTAATATGATAACCATCGTTACCATTGCAACAAACATAGGACAACATTAGTTCCCGTTTAAGGCTCTGTGAGAGACATTTGCCAAACATATAAAACTTTATAAAACTTTTTAAATACTATTCTTACTCAGTAGGACTTCCCAAATGTAGCCGAATCGGACCCGACCTTAAACATAATTCATTGGCCAATACTGATGACTGTGACAGAACCGCTCCAACGCAAATAAGTTCTAAATTAACGACAGAACGAATCCTTGCAACGTATTGATATGTATCTACTTTAACCAAATTGCAATTAATATTTGTTTCCGCGCTTAAAGCTTTCGAATCAAAGTTTTTATAATGAACGATGAAGTTATTAGCTACTATGGCCAATGTAGCGATTAATATACTCGCCAGCAACAGTGCAACACTGATTTTGCTCTTACGAGTCCGGTCATCCCACGGTAAAGTTATGAAATCGTGTTTATATTCCTGATCATTACATTCCAGGTCGTTTTCATATAACGCCATGTTATTTTCCGTATTTTCCATCTTTTTAAAAAATATTCTTCAAACGCGATTTTTAAACTTTGCAAAATCTAGTAGGCTTTATTTACATTTGTCGAACATAATTAGGCATTACTATAATGATAATCAGTATGGCGCCAATATTTGGAGATCTCACTGGTCTGTTCGTTTGCTAGTCTGTGCGGAAAGAGAAATTAACAAAAAAAGTGTTGTCTACATAACAAAAAGCAAAGTTAGCGATGGTGCCTTAAATCCCATGAAAGTTCTCTTTCCGCACAGAATCTTCTATATTTTATTAAAAATTAACATGTAGTTATATAAAATAATCAAAACCTGATCAAAATTCCTGCCGAATATGCCTTTAACGCGTTTTTATTTTGAATAAGCGCCATCTGTGTTGAAAATAATATACTATGTTATGGTACCTTGTCATGTCATGTAAACACTTTATGCTTGAAAAAACTAGATGATGATATTAATTTATCTTGAAAAGACTAGTGTAAAGTCTACTCCATTATCCATAAACAGGTTAGGTACTTCAGACAATACAGTTAGTATATTATAGAATATCTCCACAGAAATCTGTGGTCTTTCAGCCTAAACTGTGCTCTTAAGTCAACTTATAAAATAAAAGAGGTCATAGAATCCCAAAAAAATAATAATAATAATAACTTATTAAGTGAAAACAAAATGAAAACAAGGCGTCTGTATTGTTTTTTGTTTTTACGTACAATATTATAAAGATTTTATTGTATGTAATGATTAGATGATAACGTATTTTAAGTACAACAATTACGGTATCATATTATGTTTGGAATTCAAAATTTTACGTCTGTAATTAAAACATAACCTAAGATGCCGACTGTGATATTATTGGATGTTTCTCTTTCTATGAGTCGGCCCGTACCTTCCTCGGACTCTACAGAAAACCATACACGTCTGACGATTGCTTCATCAGCGATTAATACATTTCTAGACTACCTATGTGTACATTCTAAACTAGAATATGTTGCACTGGTTACGTTTTCATCCACATATGAAGGTAATATCTTTCAAGCTTACATACAATTTAATAAGCAGGCATATCTTGTTTTATATATTTCCTGTTCTTTATATCAAGGATAATTGTGGGTATATATTAGAATATTATCAACAAACATAAACATTGGTTTTTCTTGTAGTAACAATTCCATTTACCCGTGATTATGACAACATCAGAGCAAAATTGCCTCATCTGGAAGAAGGAGACAAGACATGTATTGAAACGGCTTTTATTGGTGTAAACCAATTAATCTTAAATGAATGGGGATATCAAACACCTATGCAAATAATATTGGTAAGTGGTATTTTAACTGATTTCAATATAATTTACACAGTTTAATTTAACTGTTGATTGTAAAATAATTTTACGTACAGATATTAATTTATGTTTGCAAATGCAATTCACAGATTCCCATATACATTTTTATTCAATACATATGTAAATTTTTAAAGATTACAGATGGCAGTATAGGTACTGGACAAATAGGAAGGAATCGGATTATACAAGCCCTACCTTTGCCGCCCACATACCCTGTGCGTATACATGTTCTGCCCGTGGTTGCCCCAAATGATCAGAGCTTACAACAAGGTAAGAGAATAGATTTTTGACATACAGGAATCATAGTTAGTACTTAGTCTTAACACTGAATTAAAAATTGGTCGTACTATACATAAATAAAACATCAACAGTCTGTCAGTTTTTATTAAATTGCTTTTTATTTATTGTCCAAATCTTAGATGTGAGCTCTGATAGTGTTTTGTGTGCAAATCTTTTCTAGAGCTTGGTTTTTTTTTTGTTTCAGCTATACCTTTGTATCAGAAAATAATAGATTTAGCAAGTAACACTAACAATACTATAAGTAACATTTCAAGAGGTGCCATTTATAGTCCGGACACCTTAAATGTTCCTGGGGTAAGAAATATTTTGATAAAATATATTTTCATTTATAATAATTATATTATATATTTATTAAACTAAATGCACACTCACACACCTCAACTAGTATAATATATTGATGTATATAATATATGTATTATAAGTACATAATGTTTTGGGTCTAAATCTAATATAAAAAAAATACTGTGGATTAATAAACTATTAAGTTTAAACAAATAAACCATAAAACTAATATAAAAAAATATGATTGAGAAAAGCAGGAAAAATTATGAACTTATTTAAATATTTACTTTAGCGATTGACTCTGAGTAAGAGATTAAACTATTATTAATTATTATCTTGGATGTAGTCTTCATAGAATGTTAGAACTTTTAGCGTCATTAGACATTTTAGGTTTTATTATGGACTATAGCCATATGGTGTTGATGGAGCAATATCTGAGCGCATCTTCTCTAAAGCTAAACTCTCTTGTATATACTTATATATGTGTAGTGTATATATGTATATGTCTTATTTACTTATTAAGGAATCTAAACAGATACATCACTATACATTAAAAATAAAATTAAAGTAAAACATAAAATAAACACATTGGACATATTCACAAAAAGTTTCACTGATAAAAAATACAATACAAAGTAGAACATGACAGCACAAAATTTATATATTAGAAGAACGGCAAACAAACTAGCAGCTACATAAAAAAAACAAGGAAGATATAAGGCTTAAGACATTAAGAGTTTTAACTTATTCTTAAATGAAGCAGTAGAGGAGTGCAAAAAAGGGTCAATGTTAGTGGCAGAATCCAAGGTAGAACACATCCTGTGAAGAGGCTCACTGAACCCAATGTTGATTCTGGGAGTCGGAAGGTTAAAAGTTCTGTATGAGCGCACGATGAGAACATTAAATGGTATCAGTTTGAGAAGATGGCAACAAGTTATTTCATTTACGCATATTTTTTTAATAGTGACACAGTCTGTCAAATTACTCCTAGTACCCAAAGAAAGTCATTTATATTTTTTATATTTATTTTTATCTTTATTATTACTATTTTATATTTATTATTATCTTCATAACTTTGTGTAATATTTGTAGGTCGTAACAGCCATGACCAGGCTTTGTGAACAGCAGTACCAAGAATACTGGTGTTCTCTAAAGTGTGGACAGTTAGAAGCGCGCGTCCAACTCTTTCCAGCACCAACTCCTGCGTCTCATGATGGAATATCAGCTACTTATACTATATCGAATCAACTGCACATTATAGGATTTATTTCTCAACAGGACTTGGGTAAGTATTTTTGAGGTGATCTTTAGGCGCATGAGGGTAAATTTTTTACGGATGAAACGTCACGAAGATGTGCAGCGTTTTTGAAGAAAAGTGAGAGATTGAGAAAAAATACACACTATTGGTTGATGTATTCGTTTAGTAGTTAAATATTAGATGGCAATTCTGTCGCATAACGTCACGATTTTTTATTTATTTATATTATCACTAGCTGATCCGGCAAACGTCTTTTTGCCATTTATATCATTTATAATAAAAAATAGGGGTTGATCGTAGAGGGGTGAAAATTAGAGGTTGTATGTATTTTTTAATGCTGTATCATAAAAAAATTGAAATTATAATTTATCTAAAAATAAAAAAAATATAATTTAGGGGTGGACTACCCTTAACATTTAGGGGGATGAAAAATAGATGTTGTCCGATTCTCAGACATGCCCAATATGCACACAATATTTCATGAGAATCGGTCAAGCCGTTTCGGAGGAGTTTAACTACAAACACCACGACACGAGAATTTTATATATTAGATTAGCACGTATACAGTGTGTAAACAGTGTGAATACAACCTTAGTAATAATTATTTTCAAAGAAGTTTCACTTCTGACATATTGTGTACTTTGTACGCACGCACTTTTTTTAATCTGTTGGCTCGGCGATCTAAAAGTTTTTTTTTAATAATAATTCTGTGGTGTCCCTCATGACCTTGGTGTGTTTGATCATAGAGAAGATGATCAGCCTTCTGTGTGTGACAGATGTCATCGTTTTTTTTTTATTTAACAGGAAGTAAAGGGCCAGCTCCTTTTGCACCTAATGTTAAGTAATACCGCTGTCCATGGACACTCACACTGCCAGAAGGCTCGCGAGTGCGTTGCCGGCCTTTTATGAATTGGTACGCTCTTTTCTTGAAGGTTTGCCACATGCCGGATTCACGATGTTTTTCTTCACAATACAAGTGTTAATTGTTTATAGAGTGAAAATTCCATTGCACAGACCTGATTCGAACGCACGATCGCTGGCTCGCACGCTAAAGCCACTAGACCTACACTACTGTTACCGCATATAAAGTATTTAATTTTACGCATGATGCATGCCTTAGATTGTCAGCTGTCTGTTTCAAAAATAATTTAGTTTTTTTTTAATAACGATACATTTATTTATTGACAGGCACTCCCATAGCATTAAGTAAACATTTGGTGATACCACAAGCACAGACGAATAATAATACAAATCGAGAGAATTATGACCCAAAAACACCTACAAAGGTAAGAAAAACCTTATTTAATTATATTATAGATAGATTTTTTATCGAATACATAACCTATGGTAGGGGAGCCCACGATGCTAAATGGGGATTTACTCGAGCGTCGTAGAGACCTATTGGGATACAAAGCTTAGATAAAAAGAAGAAAAAAATGTTATATGATAAATTCCTTTTCATCGGTGGGGGAAGCGGCTATAGATAGTTAAATATGTAAAAAAAACTGTTGCATGGACATCCTCGAGCGCGTCAGATATTGATAGCATCTATGCCCTACGTATTTTTAATAATGTACGTATGTTAATCTGATCGTTTGCATGATGCGGGTGGTTGTATTTAAGGGTTGAAAATTAAAAAAAAAAAATTTATCGAGCGCGTCAGATTTTCTAAGGGAGTGTTAAGTGCACCAAAAAAAATCTCTCATTCACTAATCTGACGATTTCGATGGGACGCAAACCCACAGCCATTTTCTTAATTTGCAAAAAAAAATCGCAATTTTGAAATACTCAAGCGCGTCAGATTAAGATATATGTGGTTCATCTTTATGTTCTAAACGTACTGTCTCATAATCTGACGATTATCTAGAGGGATTCGCCTGATCTGACAAAAAAAATAGAAAAACGGTTCACCTAAAGGGCCATCCCTGCAACTTCCCGCTAATTCCATTCCTGGGCGCTTAAAATTGATATTTTGAGCTCGCTGAGTTCAAAGAAATAACATTTCTATGCATTTGAGCTCTCCCAGCTCGAAAGTCTGATAGAAGTTTCATAGAACACTATTTTTGGAATTTTCAAACCGCAATAACTTTTGAATGGATCAAGCAATTTTCACGCGGTTGGCGGCATTCGACGCAGTTTTATCATTCTCATAAGTAATTTTGCAATTTTAATTGATCGAACCACAAATTTCGGAGTAATCCCGAAAAAACACTTTTCGGGTTTCTTTCATGTACGATATCTCTCGAACGAATCAACCGCTTTTGACCAGCTTGGTGGCGATCGACGTGGTTTTTCAAGCTCAAAGGCGGATTAGTTTTTGAAGTTGATCGATAAAGAAACCACTTAAAAAAAAATATTTCTTATTTTTTTAAGATTTTTCAAAATTTCTCAAAATCTATCGGTCCGAATCGGTTCAAATTCACAGGAAATGTAATTTTGAGGGAAATATTTTGAACGCCGTTTAGTAGATTCCGATCGGTTTAAGGAAATGTAGGCATCACGCAGCTGCACGCATTTAACTTTATCGACGAATTTTTGTTATTTCGGCTTGCGGAAATCGTCAGATTATATATTTTTCATAATTCTGGAATTATTTCCTTCAAAATAAAAGAAAAATTAGCTACGCTCGAGAATGTCGAGATGACGTTTTTTTTTACAACTTTGTTGCCCTCCCCTTTTTTCCGTCACTCTCAAATTGTCAGATTAGTGGAATATACACTTTTTAGGATGTAATTAACTCACCCTACCTTAATCTGACGCGCTCGGGAATTTCTGATGGTCAATTTTTTTTTACTAATCTGATCCTGTCTCCTTCACGCGCGGCCTTATATATGGGCCTCATATTTTGTGGAGGTACTTAACCGGGTACAAGGTATCCCCCTATATAGTAATCTGCCGCGCTTTAGTAAATCCCGAAATCCCCTCTTGGGCTCCCCTACCACTATGTATTAAAGTATGTATTAAGTAGGTCAATTTCACAAGGTTTCGTTTTGGTTTTTGAAGTGAAGGTTTTTTTTATAATTATGTATATAAACACACTAGCATAATAAGCTGATGCGCGTTGTTTTTTGAGAGTTGGAGAAACTATCCAATCTATTTTTAAAGGAGTTCAGAGATGGTGCACTTTCCGGAAGCCTATTCCAGTCGGCCACTACTTGGAAGAAAGTTATTTAGGGAATTTGTGTTAAGATGAAACGCAATAATAATAATAATTTTAGCGCCACGAAGATGTGCAGCGTTTTTGTCGAAGAAAAGTGAGATTGAGACCGATTGAGAGAGAGTGAGAAGGGCGAATTACCTTATAGAAATTCTACTTTTTAAATTAAAATTTTCGTAAAAAGAATTTATGAAATATTAGTATTTTATATTTTATGCAAATTAATTTATTTAAATCTCAAATGACGAATTGTTAATTAAAATGCCACGTGTTTTTAGTATCGAAGAAATAAATTTAAAAAATTAAATTTATAATTTGTATAAATTATATATATTTATGACAATTTAATTCCTAACATATGTTCCTTTTTCCCTCTCTCTAAGATTTGCATATATAAATTTGAACAAGAGTTAAAAATTAGTTTGCCAAAGAAGTTTCACTTCTGACATGTGTACTTTGTACGCACGCACTTTTTTATTGATTTTTGATATACTATTCTTAACCAACATAGTATTAAAAATTGTTAAATTGATACCTAAAATAAATTTATAAAGTTTGATCTGTGGCAGTGTACCAATAATGATGCCATTTCCTCGCTGTATTTCGATACTTATTCTTATTCAATCTCCAAAAATTGCGTGACGTAATACTTGAAAGTCTTTGTTGGTAAAAAAATCGGTAAATTTTTAGGAAGGTTCAAGTACGGATGGTTCGACTGATGAAGAGAACATATCAGATCCCAGCAAAGTGCCGAATTTCTGTGTGTTACTCCATGGAGCACTTAAGGTATGTAAGATTGATATAAAAACGGCGCGAAATGACTTTGTCCAATTCAATTCAAGGCTGAATTGAAAGGTCTAGGCTCTTCTATATGAAAATACAGCTACATAGATTCAAATTCAAAATCATTTATTTAGGTAACAAAATGTACACTTATGAATGTCAATCAAGATTATAAATAAATAAATACATAAAATAATAAGAAATACTTGGAAATTAAATAATTGGTCCGTTCTACGCCCTTCATTAAAATTAAGACTACAAGAAGAACTGGCAGTAAACTCTCCGCCACTCTTTTCAATCGCCAAGTTATTTGCTTGACACAATGTTTGTAAGGAGCTGCAACCATTACACCATGTTCCACAAGACATGTTAAGTAATAAATAACATTATAATAAATTAAAAACAAAGATTTGTCCTCTATCAGCAGGAGGCATGGTGAAATAGGAGCACGCACTTAAATACATACGTATAATGTATTATCTCACTTTGATATTTTTAATACATTTGGAAAAATATTTTTGAAGCAGAGTTTTTCATCTTTATTGCTTGACACGTACCGATTGGCGTATTTAAAGTTATAAATACGGCTTATGAATAAGTTTTCTTAGATGCCCAGCCAAGAACTTTGTGCATAATTAATCGATTTTTTTATTGATCGATTGTTTTTTTAAGCATGAAAAATCGATTATTTTTAAAATTAAAATAGCGTAAATAAATCGATTTTCACTTTTTAAAAAATCTACTTTTTTTCTATAATCGATTATTTTTTCACATCCCTAGAATTTTGTATCCGTATCCCAACATAAATTTTTAAGCTATAGATTTTATCGCGGGCTTTGAGCGCAGCGACCGAATCAAGAAATTCCGTGACGAAAATAAAAACCTAACACGATGACGTAATATAGGCGCGGCCAATACGCGTTAAAGCGGGACAGAACGCATACTGCGTCTCACATTGGTCTGGCGTTATCGGGGACGTAGCGCAGGTGCGTTAGAGTGGGACAGAACGCATACTGCGTATTCACATCTCTCAGTCGAGATCGGTGACGTAGCGTAAGCGCGGCCGGTGTAGCCGGTACGCGTTAGAGTGAAACAGACAATATAGGTGTGTTCGTCTGAGTCTGGTAGAGTAGTAGATTGAATTTATATCAAAGAAAAAAATACTGCATAAATAAATAAATAATAATAATTATTATTAACATAAGTTGATAAAAATACTATGCAATAGCTTTACCGCGACAGTCCCCGAGTGCCACACGTTTTTTTTTCAACGTGGTCGGGATCTAGACCATATTTGGCAAGGTCCCGTCTATGTTCGTCCCGTATACTTAACATTGTAGGTAGAAAGTATGGCTGCAGTGGTACAACTTGGAGTAGATTGGTGGGGAACACTATCTGCCTGGTGTGAGGCAGCACGCGCGAGACGCTCCTGCCTTCTTCTCAGTGTATTAAGACCCGGAGCGTCTGCTGCCCCCTGGCTTGGGCCATTGGACCAATTGGGGCCCATCGATGAGACCACAACGAACCGTAAGTTTAACAACTAAATAATAAATCTGTGGCGCTACAACCTTTTTAAGTCTGGGCCTCAGATTTTTGTATATGTTTCATTTGTCAATCTAATACGCAAGTAGGTGATCAGCCTTCTGTGCCTGACGAACGCCGTCGACTTTTTGAGTCAAGTCAATCCGGTTTCATCACGATGTTTTCCTTCACCGTTCGAGCGAATGTTAAATGCGCACATAGACAGAATGTCCATTGATGCACAGCCGGGGATCGAACCTATGAACTCAGGGATGAGAGAGGCACGCTGAAGCCACTAGGCCAACACTGCTAAGTTTTACAAAGCCATTGATAAATATCTCAGTTAAAAATTAACTGACATTTACGATATTTCAGCGGAAACATTCCCAATACGCTCGTGGCGTTCGTATAGCGGTGGCGGGTCGGGATGCGCATGGGCACGCCCACACGCCTTATTGGCGGACGTACAAAAAGTGCTGAGACATGCGAGGAAGTTACCTGATAAGACACAACATTTGTATAAGGTAACATTCATTCACTCGACAGCTTAAAGGTAAAAATTTAAAAATGGAATACGTTATAATAATAATAGTCCAGGATCCATCGCCCATTTTTGCAATTGATTACTATCAAGCTAATTTTCCGTGAGTAGCTTTATTTTGATGAGACGCCCAATAATTTCCTGTACGAAACTCTCGATTGTGGTAGCTAACAGAAGTAGCAAGGATAAAATATGTTGATTTGATGATTCTCAAATATTTATTACTAACTGAATTTTTTTTGTTAAATCTCAAGACAATTATCTAAATTATTCGAAAAATATTTGTCCTACAAAATCTATGGTTTGATCAAAGAGTCCCCTCTTTCCGACATGTATCGATAACGAGGTCATCATAAATGATTACTAACCAGCTGATTTTTTTTTACTTAGTTAATATTTATGTAATTTAACAGACATATTGTCCTACAAATTGCGTGGTACGTAATCCTGATCCTACGCTCAAAAGTAGTAGTACAGATCCTTGATGTAAAAATAATTACTATCAAGCTGAATCTTAGTGAATAGCTTCGTTTCGATGAGTCGCCCAACAATTTCCTATGCGAAAATTCTCAATTATGGTAGCTAACAGAGGTAGCAATGATAAAATATGTCGATTTGATTTTGCTACTACAGCTGAGTCACACCGGTACGGCGGTACGCATGCGCAGAGCATTGCTTACTGCGAATTAGGTATCCCACGTTAGTGTCGACCATAAGCCTGCAAACATTATCTCAATCGACCACGTGTTTTATTTTATTTTGATAAATAATTTCAAGAAATGTTTTTTGTTCTGCAAAATAATTATGGAGTGTTTTTTGTGTAATTCGTTATGTGAAAACTCTACTTTTCGAGAGAAAAGAGAAAAAGTGAAGAAATTTAATAAAGACTTTTGGCTTTCTTGCAAAACTTTTCTATCTGCTCGAAAGCATCATCAACATAAATATCGAGATGTTATATTGCCTGAAAATTGTAATGACGAAGTAATAGGTTATCATTCCTCTTTCCCTTTACGTAATTATGTAAAATCGAGCATTAGCATTGTAACATTCTATTGTAGCATTGTATTATTGTTACATTCTTTAAACAATAATTTTTGATAATATATTATATTTTAAATATTTTCTTATGAAATTTTTTGTCATTTAAATTTATGTTTTTGTATGACTATTATATTAATATTTAGTCAAAACTAAATATTAATTTAATATGGGTTAATTTTTTTCAATATCGATGATTCTATGTGATATTTATGTAGACACTGTATTTATTTGCAATGTATGGTGTAATGCACTCATGCGGTGCCCCACGGAAAAATAGCCAGAAAATTTTGGATGGACAATAATTGATGGTAAATATGAATATTATTGGTTTGATGGTCCCCAAAGTCCATCATTTGAAGAATTATCTTCTGACTTACAAGGTAACCTATTAATACTATTTTTATGTATTGATTGATTATTCATTATTATATAATTTACTTAATTTTTTCATGTTATTACAGAGTCAGATATCACGAGTGAAGAAAGTGAAACAGATGAAGATGATAGCGATGTTAGTAGCGAAGATTTATCAGATGAATCTGGTGAAGATTAACTTCTTGATATATGAATACACAAATTTTTGTACCTAGATTACTAAAAAATAAAGTTATTTAAATTTTAAAAAAGATTTTTTCACTGTATCTTATTTTACAAATAGGAAAACGAAAAAATTACAATTCTTGTCGGACTAGTGATACATACATACCTGTTTTTTGTAGGACGTTGTTTCATTTGGGCAGAGAACACACTAACCTATTATATGATATTTTTGTCCTACAGTTAGTAATGTGGTCTTGTGGTATTAACAATTTCTGAGCGTAGGACCGGGATAACGTACCGCGCAATTTGTAGGACAATATGTCTGTTAAATTACATGAATATTAACTAAGTAAAAAAAAAATCAGCTGGTTAGTAATCATTTATGATGACCTCGTTATCGATACATGTCGGAAAGAGGGGACTCTTTGATCAAACCATAGATTTTGTAGGACAAATATTTTTTCGAATAATTTAGATAATTGTCTTGAGATTTAACAAAAAAAAATTCAGTTAGTAATAAATATTTGAGAATCATCAAATCAACATATTTTATCCTTGCTACTTCTGTTAGCTACCACAATCGAGAGTTTCGTACAGGAAATTATTGGGCGTCTCATCAAAATAAAGCTAGCTTTCACGGAAAATTAGCTTGATAGTAATCAAGTGCAAAAATAGGCGATGGATCCTGGACTATTATTTGAATTTCGAACGTCAGTACGATTATATTATAATGTACGAATGTACAGACTAGAGCATTAGGCACATAAAAAATGTCAATGTCAAAGTATGTAGCACTAAGGAGTTTCCATTATTACTTTTAATTGATGAGCCAAGAATGAATAATTTTTTAATCATAAAATCTGAACATTTTTATATCAAAAGTGAGGCGACATAAGTACATCGACCAGTCTATGGCTAATGTGTCTACCGCTGACACTTATTACATTTATATTTATCCTGTGTAGTTTTACAAATATACAATTACGTTTATTATTTTGAATTAACTAAGCACAAAACACTAAAACCATCGTAAAATAGTAACATTTATTGATCATTAATTCAAGCGCTAGTGTAGCTTCCATAATATCACAGATTAGAAGTAAACCAGATATTGATGACAAATAGGCTTGGCGGAAAGCAGCCGTCTTGTTTGTTTTATTTATTAAGACATAAAGATAAAGTAATATTACAAACGGTTATTATGACAATTTACATTGAACTCATTGGATTCCATATTTACGATATGTGCAATCGTTGATAGAAATGTTTCAAGAAATTATCGATTTTAGATCTTGGTACGGTATCTGGTGCGTGAATCTTGCCTAGAGAAACTTTTTGGCGGGTTTTTTGTAATTATTGTTTAACTTATGGGGTAAATGGTTTAACCACCATTTTAAAGTGAATTACTTTAATTTCATGTTTGGTTACAATATTCACTTAATATAATATAAAGAAATAAACATATGTGCGTCAAATACCAAGCCACCAAGCGCACTGGCTACGTACTACTGGTTACCTGCGTACACGCACACATTCACGCGCGAATCCCGCAAGACCAGTTTTTATGTAGTTCTGTGCGAGTGACGATATTACGATATCGATGAAAAATGTCGATAAAAATATGAAATTTATGTGAATATGAAATGTATGTTTATACATGTGTATGCTACAAACTTGAATTTCTAAAATTTTGTCAAATAGCCCATGATAAGCTTGAATGTGCAAGAATTTTATTATTTTATGAACTATTTATTGATAGAAGTTAATTGATAGTCTGCGATAGAATATCACAGAGTATAGAAATAAAGTTCAATTTTTTTTTAATTTCTACTTTTTGTATTATTCAGGAATTGAACCGTCTCCGCCGTGCAGCAATATCTCTTGGGTTCTCTGAGCTTCTGACATGCGTGGGCGGAGCTTTAGAGCGCGAATGTGCGTCTTTAGGCGGGTCTGCCCCACCCGAGTGTGCATTACAACTTGCCCATGCAGCTGCCGCCCTGAGGGATCCGAGGACCGCCCTCGACATAAAACATACCCTACAACCATTGGCTACGGACTTTTCTTCTATGTCACATTAAATAACTGTCAACAAATTGGTTTTTTATTTATATTAAAGCGATTCGCCCTATTCGTCATAATTTACGTATAAAAAACAAGATTTTAAATGATCAAGGACGAAACTGCCTTCAATTACGGAATTCAGTTAAATATTAATCATTTATTTTTGAAGTTATACTTCTTTAGGCGCGTTATGAAAAAAATTTATGAGAGTGAAATTTTACGATGCGCGCGCACTGTGACACAAAATTAACATAATGAAGTTGCCCACTAAATCGCTCATTAAGTTGAGGAAAAAATGCTACCAACAAAACAGAAATGGAACCTCTGTTAGTGGCGCATGTTGGCACGCACGCCGCCTCTGTTCACTGTGTAATTATATTTATAATATTTATCCACATGCTTTGAGTTTCTACATTTAAAACACGTGTTTTCATTATACAAGTGCGAATTATATATGTGCGTCTGAATTATAATCAGAAGTGATTTAAATTGAATATTCAAATCAATACTAATTAATATTAGAAAATAATAATAAATATTTATTTATTTAATTTTTCAAATGTAAACTGAACTTTATTGACTATAATGACTCCTTTTCCAGTCTTTGATTATTTAATTGTAAATAATTATTATTTGCATGCAATCAAAAACGATTTTTAATTATGCCAAAGAAGTATAACTTCTTACGCGCGTACACGCACCCTTTTTGAAGTTATACTTTAGGCGTGTTGTGAAAAATTGATGAGAGTGAAATTTTACGATGCGCGCGCACCGTGATACAAAATTATCAGTATGAAGTTGCCCACGGAAGATGCTACGGCATTCGACATAATTTAAAAACAACATTCGAATAATAATAGAATTTATGTTACACTTAATGTAAGAGAATCATAATAAATATTTATTTATTGAATTTTTCAAATGTAAACTGAACTTTATTGACTATAATGACTCCTTTTGCAGTCTTTGATTATTTAATTGTAATACATTATTTGCATGCATTCAAAAACTATTTTTAATAATGCCAAAGAAGTATAACTTCTTACGCGCGTACATAAGTACACGCACCCTTTATAGTAGATCAGTTTCACGTAATAAATTATTAAATACCAACAAAAAAATACATTCAGTTAAAAATATTTATTGCTCATATACAATTTATTCCAACTAAAAACATAAAATAATCTTCAAATTAAGACAAACATAAATAATTTCCTCGACTTAAAATTAATCTTAAAGCTACAAAGCTCACAGCATCTTAATAAATATTGCTCTATTAGACATGTTTTCAAAGCTATAAATAATAGAGTTAAAAGTATATTTATTGCTCATTTACAATTTATTCCAACTAAAAACATAAAATAATCTTCAAATTAAGGCAAACATAAATAATTTCCTCGACTTAAAATTAATCTTAAAGCTACAAAGCCCACTTGCTCTTGAGGTGTTTGCCGGCTCTTACGTCGTAGAACATTAGAAGACCTGCAAATATGTTAAAATATGTAGATTACAAAATATATGAACGGCCGTAAAAAACGCGCAGAGATCGTTACCATAATTGCTATTAATTTTGCATGCAAACGATGTTGCCATGGTAACACGTATATTTAATCCAACTTTTATAATAACAAATATAATTTTCGTAAGTTCTATTTTTTATGAACTAGATTAAATAAAGCGTGGCTTGGATCTCCACGGAAGGACGCCGATCGTATCCCACAAACGTTATGAGACGTTATCTTCTTAACAGTCTGTAGCGTCCGGCAATCCAGAAGTAACGTGTACCACTCACAACCGATCGCGTTTAATGAACGGCTTTCCTAAAATTTTAAAATACTTTTATTTAAAGTGGGATTTAAAAAAGAAAAGACGAGGATTGTGTCCGGCCAAACAAAGGGGCGTCGTTATTGACACAATCGGAACTAGTATTCTCAATTCTGATGGTTTTAAATCAGGTAGGATATTTCAACTTCAGTCTGAACTTCTACATCTATCTACAAATGTCTGTAAGGGACATGCAAAATATGAGTCTAGGAAAATCATTATTAATTATACCGGTATTTTTTTATTTTCAATTGATAGACAACTTTTTAAAATCTTTGTTTAAATCGATAGTAGTATCGGAATTTCTTTACTTAAAATTTAAAATAATAAGACTGATATATAGAAAGCATACCAATGGTGCATCCAAAAGATAAACCACTCCTTATATGGAAATTGTATTCGTTTTTACAACAAGCTCCCAAGCGAAATTAGAGAATTATCACTAAATAAATTCAAAGTCCTCGTTAAACGAAAATTAATCAACAAAGCTTTTTATAAATTTGAGGACTACTTAAATGATCCTAATCCTTGGGATTGAATTGCTCCAGTTCAAACAATTTGTATGACAATACTTGGCGATTAAAAAGAGTGGCGGAAAGTTTCTTGCCAGTTCTTCTTACCCGCTCTACGCCCTTGACTTGCGAACTGGTAGTAAATGTAAATTTACGATTAATTTAACTTGACGATTCAAAAGTGTACTTGGTTACCTACTTGAATAAAGATATTTTGAGTTTGAGTTTGAGTTTGCACGCGTAATAGTATGCGCATAAATTTGGCCACGCATTAGATTAATAAAAATATAAATTTTGCAAATGCATAAAAATGCTGTACGGATATCATAGTAAATATGAAAAAAATATATCTTTTTAATGAAAATACTGGTTTAGATTATTGAAACTACGAGGCTCTGCAAGATAATTTGTTATATATCTCTTACTTGTGTGGCGAGGCAAAAGAGGTGCCGACGTAAAGGTAACTTTTGTGAAAGGGTTTGTCTGAAGGTGGCTGCATCGAACACATGGATGTACCCGTTGAGGCTCAGCGCGGCGATCTCGCGCCAACGAGGGTTGAAGGTTACCGCCCGGACCTCCTAACCTGAGGAGATTTTACCAGTGAGTCACTTTTTCTACTCAATTTTAATTTTGCAACGATATATTTCTATCAATGTTTAGCTAATCTGTTTTGTAAACGGTCTTTGGAAGAACAAACAGCATTTTTGAACAGATCAACCTATACCTTTTAATAGGATTGTTAAGAGATTTAAGAGAGACAATCTTTTAAAGAGATTTTGCCATATTGAAATACAGATTTCGACCGATCACATAAATCTAAATAGGAAGTAATCTTATTTTAATAAAGGTTTTCTATACGCTATCAGGTTAATGTCGGTTTCCTTATCTCCTATATTTTGAATGCATAGATTTTTCCATATAACTTGTGCAGTGAACACATGAATACTATTCGATGTTCATGCGTCCGTTTAGTTCGAAATACGGCCACGGAGCGCTGTTCAAGTTTTTCATTACAAAAATTCATTCTATTATTTTGTATTTATACAAAATAGTTTACCGTTTCTTTAGAGTTAAGGCTTTAGATTTTTTGCATTTGATTAGTGGACATAAATGGAATTTAGACAACCAATGCAGAGAACAAATCACTAAGAGTTACATGGAATACATTTCACATTATTTTTACTAAAGAAAAAAATAATAATGTAAGAATGATATTATCTTTTATCCATTTTTAATAACAAGACTACATGTGTTTAATAATTGCACTCTCTAGTAGCCAGTGGTACTATATAATTATATAGTACCTAGAGTAGCTAGAGTATTTGGTGAAACAGGTGCCCGCCACAATGCTAGTTTGGAATCCCGAGACCCTGTTACTAAGAATTCATCATCTAGCCAACACACGTCAAAGATCTGTAAAAATGTTGAAACTCAGTTAGTGGATATTAGTCTTATTATATATTTCAACTTTCTACATACAGTACTGTTAAGGCATCTTGACTTAGTCCTCAGGCTGCTAGTATTTTACTTACTTTTTGGCAAACGTCCTAGCGTGATCAGCATCTTTATAAAACCTCAAAAACATAAGCTCCACTTGCGTTTCGTCACAATGGCCCACGAATTCCTTTACGTCTACACGTCCAGGTCTTATTAGAGCTGGATCTAACCTGTTAAGTATAGGAAACAGTGTGACCGTTTTAAAAAATGGCGATCTACCAAAACTACAAGGTGCCAGTACTAAATAATACCAAAACACATGCCGAATTATACTAAAAGAAAAAGAGTATTTCTTTTATTAAAACACTTATTATCAGTTACTTTTTAAAATACCAATTACACACCTTCTATATACAGACATATTAAAATAATAATATATATTTACAATAAGTTTTATTACAAAATATACTAAGTCAGTATTCGCTGCACTGAGCTAACTGAGCAGATTTGGTGCGTTTGAAGGAAAAGCCCTTTGCAATTTCCGAATCATAAAACATTTTGCTGAATAAATCGCTGAGATGATCCATGGCCCGAGATGGTATGTTATGTTCTGCCAACGCTGCATAAAATATAAGCTCTGCTTTTCTTACTTCTTCAGATATGGGTTCTTTCCTTTGAAGTAATTTATCATCGTTCTGAAAATAAACAGGATTTGATTAATTTTCCTATCGTAAAAAATAAGTAAAATACCTATTCCTTATTTTAAAAAACTAGTGTCTCATTTATAAAAAAAATAAAATTCAGCTTGAAATCGCTTGAGAATCAATTATACATGTGTGTACAACTGTACGTGTACTATCCAAGATTCATCGGACATCCTGTAGAAGTAGGACAATTAATTCATGTGCCATAAAAAAATAAGGGACACAATAATCTTATAAATATGTTAATGGGGGCATAGCTTTCTTACCTTGGTTTGTCCACTATAATGTATAAGTTTCTGACGATGTTTTTCAGAATATGCATTTAATTGTAGCGATTCTGCTTAAAAATGTAGCTCCACAAGTTTTACACAAGGCGTTCTCATTATTTTTATCTTTTGTCAACCAAGACGAAAATTCAGGATTTTGTTCCCACTCCGATCTATATTTCTAATCGTATTTGCGCTTCATAATCTTCACTACACGTGCACACAGAGAGAAATAAATAAAGATCTAAAACATCCGTGGTCCCTTTTATACAGCATGTAACGTAGATATAGTAATACGTAGCTAAAGCACGATTCGCGAATTTGTTAGCATTAACCGTTCGAAAGAGACAAAATGATACATTTGCGGTAAACATCAGACAAAGATAAAAACATGTGAACGAAATACGAACGAATGGAAGTGAGTGTTTCCCGCCCAGCCCAAAAATATATCAAAATGTGTTTTAAAATGTTGAAAGTTTAAATGTACCAAAAATATCAGAATATAAAAGGATACCAAAAAAATACTAAATTAGTTACACGGAGCCCAAATTATACCAATACCAAGGTACTGAAAATACTAAAAACGGTCACTGCTGATTTGGCGCGCGTTCCAAAGTGGTATCCATTTCGCGCGCCAATGTTTGACCTCTTGGAGCGCAAAATCGATGTGATTCTGTAAAAGAAAATAAACACTCAATAATAACATACTTATAACCTAAGTTTGGCAAAGGTGTTTAGATTAAGGCGGTATGGGAGTGTACTGGCCACAATACTTAAGACTGGCCGCAAGGAAAAAAAACAATGAATTTGAATATTGACAGTTCGATATTGTTTTAGAAAATCTATTTCATGTCTTGTAGTTGACCGTGTGTGCACCTTAAAGGTGCGCTTACACGATGGCAATAATTGCTCGGCGACACGAATGGGCCGATCTGGAGCAATTGATGGAGCAATTTCAATAAATTTAATAAATTATTTCGGCGATATTGCTTCTAATTGCTCCAGATATTTCATATCGCTCAATGTCGCAGATACGAATTGACGAATATCCAATGGACTTGGAAATTCCTAGCAATTTTTGTATGTCTCATTCGCACTTGTTTGTTTTGCGGCTTGCCAATTTGCTTCCGCGGGGAGAGCGAGAGGTCTAAATAATAATAATTTCTAATTACTTTATTCAAAAGTAATTCAAAGTCTGTTCGTGACATTCTATTAAAGTTTTTGAATAATATATCATCTAAACGGCCAAAAACGATCGCACCCAGATACGCCTATTCCTTTTCTTTCTTTTTTGTTTTTGATTAATAATAAAAAAAAAGCGCTACAAGCCGCCGCAGCAAGAACAATGTCATCTATAGCGAACGAATACTGAATTGCTCGTGTAGGACAGTATTGCCTAGTTGATGAAGTTGCGCCATATCGCTCAATATTGTATTGCGCAGTATTGATGCTTGTTGCCGTTGCCGTAAATTGCTTGATGTAGTCGTGACGTCATAGTTGACGAGTATTGACTGGAATTGAGCAATTTTAATAATAATAATAATAATTAATAATAATAATAATTTAGTATATTTAAAGCATTTGCGATGTCGCAAACAGTAAGACGTCCCATCGAAGCAAGGTATCCATCCAGCTATATACCAAGCAGAATATATGAAAGAAGAACAAGAACACAGGCGCTCAGGTAATTTCATATAAATAATTCTTTTGAGATAAATGACACGAATACGTGACCTCATATGTCTGTTTAATGAGGATTTAAAAATGTTTCAGATAACATTAAAAAAAATACATTTTAATTGCTAGATCTATGTAAGGTATTGATGACAAAATTGCTGGTTTAACTTTACAATATGGACCATCGATTTGAATGCCCATATGTACTTTTTTTGTAGATAGTACTCGCTAAAAGAAAGCGTTTTGCAAAGTTTTAAGTTGCGGAAACACGGTTCATGAGATAAATTTATTTTTACTTTCCATACAAATTACGCGGCAACAAACGCGCCATTATGTTGTGACGCGTTATTTGCCGCGTAAAAAAAATTATAAATTTGACAAATAACGGATTGATGAGCTCTATTGGTTATTGTTAGTTTATATAAAAATAATATATTATATAATAGTAGTTGTAAGTAGTACTGGCGTCATCTAGTGAGTAATTCAATTTATTCAAGTGACATGTAACTGACACTGCACGCATCTGTCAGTTCTAAGACTAATCCAAGACTTTGCGAAAGGACGCTATTTCGTACTGTTTTTGTGATTTCGGTCCTGTGTTTCGGTCACAAATCACAATGCCTAAACGGTGTGTGTTTGGTTGTGCGCCTAGTGGTAAGTGATGCAATTACTATAATAGAAAGTATAGAAGTGTAAACTTAGCGATAGAAATACCGCGGAAAGTGGAGATCCATATATACATGCAGCATTCAGATATAGGTAAGACAGCCTTAAAGGCATGTCTACTATTCAGATTATTATAGTCAACAGTCAACTGCTAGATCTATATGCCTCTCATTTTAATGTGCAAAAATATACTGAAGAGTTCTTCTATGGATACCTGTATCACAAATCACATAATCAATTCCAGAAATAAAAATAACCTATCTTTCTAATATCTAACTATAAAGTAACCCTTTCCTTGCCTAAACAAGCACTTAATTTATAGGGCACTATATACGCTTATATAATAAATTTACTGACAAAGTAACGAAAATACCTGGAAATAAATTTAAGATCAAAAATGCATCTAAAGCAAACTCTTTGTAATAAAGCAATGCACCCCTACCTATCCCGTAAGGGATTACAGGCATGAGAACTTATGTTTATGTATGTATTGTTTATATACATATTAACATAACAGAACATATTACAGATTATTTAAATGACGAAATTGCATGGTTTTATCCATCTCAGCAACAGCAGCAATTTAATTTAATTTATTTCAGTACACAAATCCACTGTGAAACATCTTTTTTCATGATTTAATCATGAATCTAAGAACTTTATCAACATATTAACATGCATATTTTATCTTATTTTTCAGATGCCAGCCTTCATTCATTTCCAAACCCTAAAAGATTCCATCAGCAATTGAATGCTTGGGTTGATCTTACTGGTGATTTTGGATTGACTTATGAAGAGATTTACAAAAAAAAAAAGTTTGATGTTCATTTCACAGACAGAGATCATAATCATAATAACAGATTAAATGCTTTAGCCATTTCATCTCTTCATTTGAATGGTAGGTAATTGTAATATTAACCCTTGGATGGTTGAGAAACCAATATATCGTCAATAGCAATTGAATTTTCATTGTCTTATTCCTTCATGAAAAGTTTAACTATTGTGACCTTAAGTTTGTGGACCAGTCCAACTGTAAGTGTCCACATTTCAGCTCTGTAGGTCATTATGGTCTGATACGCACTGGTCAAAGACTAGACTAAGAGTAATAGGTAATATTAAACCATTCTGTCATTTTAGGTGCCATTCCCCACTCAGTCTAATAAAGATTTTATTGGTAAATTGTTTAACTTTTTTCAGGCTTTCATGGAAAACTTTCTTACCCTAGTGCAACGGTCAGTCAGGAAATGGAACTGAACACCCAATTAGATGCAGGTAATTAAAATAATTTAGTTTTTAAGGCACTATAAAAAAAATAATTTATAATTTGCCAGCATTTCTTTTTTGTGTGTATGTTACTGGATTTCTCCACTGATCATCAATGGATTTTAGTTATTTCAATAACAATTAATTTAATAGTTTCTGTATTGACACTGGTTCTTCTTTATTAATTTCAGGTTGTTCTGAACATATTATAACACTTTCGAACGTATACCTACCTATAATTACATGCTTTCAAAAGTATCGAGCGAATCATTTCCTCTTAGGGTTTTGTTTAAGAAAATTGGTTTTATGTATGTTTTGTTTTTAACACATGAAGCGCTGCAAGGGTTATATTGCATAAACATACATTTTTATTAATTCTGGTATCTGACAACATTTCAGTTGACTGTAGCTCAGTATCTACTTCTGCAGTAACCACTCAACAGAATGTTAAGCAAACCAAGTAAAGACCATCAAAAAGGCATTCAGAATATGCTGCTATAATGCTGGACCATGGTTATTGCAAGAAAAGATCTTCAAAAGGTTTGTGATATCATATCTTAGTCTTTATAGTTAGTTAGAACAGTTGGGGAACGACAGATTGGGGAATAATGAGTTAAGTTAATCACAGAGTATTCTGGCTATATGTCTTCCAGCTAGTTGTGACTTGTGAAAGAAGGCTGACACACAGTGAGAGAGTGGGAGAATACCAGTGAAGAGCCTTTATCTCCCTTAAGTAAATATTTAAGGGGGCCGCATACAATAGACATGATTTTTTTTTGCTGTTTTTATAGATACAGAACCATTAGTGCGCGAGTTTGACTTGCAATTGGCTGATTTTATTTAATTATACTTTTTTGTTACAGCTTCGGAAAGTACGGCGCCGTCCAAATTGACAGTAAATAGGTATAGGATTCACCAAAAACAAATTTGTAACTTAAGAAGAGAAATCTACAGGCTGCGAAAAAGTGGTCATTCGTTTAAGGCGAAAAACAAAAAAGCCAAACAACTGGATGCCAACACTACTTTTCAAAAAGTAGTTAAAGGTATGACGTCACAAGCCAAATTGTTTACCGCCATGCAGATGCAAACGGTGAAAAAACAAAAAGGTCGTTTTCGTTTGGAAGAAAAAGTATTGTCCTTGTCTTTGTATAAGAGGAGTCCCAAGTTTTATGCCTTGATGGCAAAATATTAAACATTGCCATCTGCCAAATGTTAAAAATCTGAAATAAAACTAAAGCCGGGCATCAATAAAGTCGTTTATGAAAAATTTAAAAAAGTTGTGCACGATTTGCCTCGCGAAGATAAACTGTGCTAATCTTTGACGAGATGCACTTACGCCGCAAGTGCATTAGGCTGAAGCAACCGACAAATTAAAAGGATTTGCGACTCACGGCAAACAAGTATTTGCAAGCCATGCATTGGTTTTCATGGTCAAGGGCATTAAAAAAAGGTACAAACAACCGGTCGCCTGTTATTTCACCAGTAACCTGTACAAAAATGAATTGAAAGGAATAATACAGGAAGTTATCAAAAATTACCGTTTTATGTACTGTGTGTGACCAGAGCACAGTAAATGTGAGTGCCATTAATAAGCTTGTAGCCGCTACAAGAGTAAATTATCTCAGAAAAGGAAAGGAGACCAAAATCAACTTTTTTGAAGTGAACAAAAGAAAAATTATTCCCATTTATGATGTACCACATTTATTAAAAGGGCTGAGGAATAACCTTCTTACCAAAGACTTGGTTTATATTGACCCCGAAGACCAAAAACAGAAACTCATTAAATGGGAATACATTGAACTACTGTATGCTGCCGATAAATCATTTGGAGAACTCCGATGCCTGCAGAAATTAACGGAGGAACATGTTGGAAGAGCAAAAATTTAAAAAATGCGCGTGAAAACAGCGGCGCAATATTTCAGCCATAGCGTAGCTGTTGCGACGGAGCATTTGGCAGCCCAAGGAGCACTACTGCAGGCATGCCGACAACTAATCCCGTTCTTATAATCGACAATTTATTTGATTCTCTGAATCGTAGCTCTTTTAATGTCAGAAATTGTAAAATCTTTAAGGGAGCGTTCAAGTATTACGTCACGCAATTTTTGAAGATTATTGACCCCCTCCCCCCTGTGTAACGCGCCGTAACGTTTTTCTGTACCCAAGTACAGTACTGTAACCAAGTATAGTAAAACGTTTCGTGACCACCTAGTGACGAGTGAGTGGTGTAAAGTACTAGAAAGACGAATAATATTAACAATAACGCGTAATTCAATCCCTGCCCCGCATCGTAACCTTTTACAAAAGGACCCCCCCCTCCAAAATTCGGCACGTAATACTTGAACGCTCCCTAAAGGGCCTGTAAAAAGAAATTCATGTCATCATCAGCTATGGCAAAAAGCACTTCAACTTTTAAAAAGTGTCAAATTTATAGCTAAAAAAAAAGGAAGGAAATAAAATACGTGTGGTTGAATCGGTTGTACCATCAGTAAAAAAATTCATTAAAACGATTGAAGGTTTGCAAGAGCTTTGGAACATTTTGTCCCAAAAATATTCTTTTGATTACATGCTTACGAGAAATTTCAACCAGAAGCTTTGGGGGTAGGAATATATCTCTTTAGGGATGTTTGTTTAGGGTTGATTTGGTTCAGAATTATTTGGTCGATGTTAAAATAAAACTCCCTAATTGTTTGTAGAGAAGAGGTGAAGATGGAATAATATAATATCTGTAATAGCTTGTACCTTCTCTTGGGGTGGCTGTATTCCTTCCGCCGTGACTTAGTGACCGAGGAATTTCACAGTTGGCTGGCCGAAAACACATTTTGATGGGTTGATGGTAATGCCGTATTTTTCGAGTCGCTGTAATACGGTGCGTAGATGTTTTCGGTGTTCTTCCTCGTCGATTGATGCTATGAGTAAATCATCAACGAAAGGAAATACGAAGTCGAGTTCGCGCAGTGCTTCGTGAATAAAGCGTTGGAATGTCTGTCCGGCATTCTTTAGACCAGGACACATGCGCGGGAACTCGAAAAGGCCAAATGGTGTGATGATAGCGGTTTTCTCCACATCTTGCTCGCTGACTGGCAGTTGTTGGTACGCGCGGTTGAGGTCGAGTGTGGAGAAAATTTTCTTCCCTGCGAGTTGGTATGTGAAGTCACGTATGCGTGGTATGGGATACCGATCGGGCTTGGTTATGGCGTTGAGACTTCGGTAATCACCACACACGCGTAACTCTCCACTCTTCTTAGGCACGACGTGAAGAGGCGATGCCCAAGGGCTTTTGCTTGGTCTGCATAACCCTTGATTAATCATTTTTGAAATTCTTTCCTGACCATAAACCATAAACGTAAAGACTCCAATTTGTTTAATCGCGAGAAATGCGGGACCAAGGCGTGCGAGGAGGGAGCGTCGGATTGGCGACAAGGGAACGGGTCCGTACATCATATGTAACCAATTTATTGCACTTGGTACCAAATATAATTTGTCTATGTGATAGCCACTCGGAGCAGAACACTTTGTTTGTCACCATTCCAAGGTCGATTGGCCTCTCACGCAAGATCTCGTGCGTGGCCATTTGGCGCATAGCATGTGTTGATTCCACCGTTCGAGGCTGTTGATATAAAGATCTATTGATAATATGTAAGACTAAAAATATGTCTTTTTATTTTGTTAAAAGTATTGCATTGTTTTATAATTAAAAGCAGACTTAATGTTTTGAAGGTATAATTTTAGTTCATGTAGGTACGGACGTAAGTATGGGGTGGAAGTTTCGCAATGTAATTCGACGTTTGACACGGGCAGGTTGACTTTCTTGAAACATAAGTTGTTCTGTAGACTGAGTGCTTGAATGGTATCGCTATCGCGCTCTTGAGCTTATGCAAGTAGGTTGTAGTCGATCGGCGATGGACACGTGATTGCGTCGACGCGTGATAGTGCATCTGCGGCTGTATTTTGTGACCCACTGACGTGTCGTATATCAGTGGTAAATTCGCTGATATAAAGTAGCTGTCGGGTGCGTCTCGGTGATTCGCTGTTTGTATTTGATTTTGTGTAAGCGAATGTTAGCGGCTTGTGGTCGGTGAATATTATTATTTCTCGTCCCTCGAACATTTTGCGGAAATGTTTGACAGCCATGTAGATGGCGAATAGCTCTCGATCGTAGGTACTGTAGCGAGTCTGTGCGTCAGTGAATTTCTTCGAGAAATAGCCGAGTGGTTGCCATGAGTTGTTGATAAATTGGTTGAGTGCGGCTCCCGTTGTTTTGTCGCTCGTGTCGCTGAATATAGCAAGTGTCGCATGGTGAGACGGATGAGCGAGTAAAGCGGCGTTTTTTATGCTCTCTTTACATGCTTCATAAGCTTGCGTTGATTCAGCGGTCCATTCGATCTTAGTTTTGTCAAGATTCTTGACGTTGTGCAGATAGGTATTTAGCGGCGCTTGTATGGTGGCGGCATCTTTGATATTTTCACGGTAAAAGTTTATCATACCGAGAAAACGTCGCAGTTCGTCTACGGTTTGTGGTTTTGGAAAGTCTGTAATAGCTTGTACCTTCTCTTGGGGTGGCTGTATTCCTTCCGCCGTGACTTGGTGACCGAGGAATTTCACAGTTGGGGGGCCGAAACACATTTTGATGGGTTGATGGTAATGCCGTATTCTTCGAGTCGCTGTAATACTGTGCGTAGATGTTTTCGGTGCTCTTCCTCGTCGATTGATGCTACGAGTAAATCATCAACGAAAGGAAATACAAAGTCGAGTTCGCGCGGTGCTTCGTGAATAAAGCGTTGGAAAGTCTGTCCGGCATTCTTTAGACCAGGACACATGCGCGGGAACTCGAAAAGGCCAAATGGTGTGATGATAGCGGTTTTCTCCACATCTTGCTCGCTGACTGGCAGTTGTTGGAACGCGCGGTTGAGGTCGAGTGTGGAGAAAATTTTCTTCCCTGCGAGTTGGTATGTGAAGTCACGTATGCGTGGTATGGGATACCGATCGGGTTTGGTTATGGCGTTGAGCCTTCGGTAATCACCACACACGCGTAACTCTCCACTCTTAGGCACGACGTGAAGAGGTGATGCCCAAGGGCTTTTGCTTGGTCTGCATAACCCTTGATTAATCATGTTTTGAAATTCTTTCCTGACCATAAACCATAAACTTAAAGACTCCAATTTGTTAAATCGCGAGACCATGAGAAACGCGGGACCAAGGCGTGCGAAGAGGGAGCGTCGGGATGGCGTCAAGGGGACGAGTCCGTACATCATATGTAACCAATTTATTGCACTTGGTACCAAATATAATTTGTCTATGTGATAGCCACTCGGAGCAGAACACTTTGTTTGTCACCATTCCAAGGTCGATTGGCCTCTCATCTCGTGCGTGGCCATATGGCGCATAGCATGTGACGATTCCACCGTTCGAGGCTGTTGATACAAGTAGCGGCACGAACACAGAACACAATTACCTAAAGGAAGAACGACGACTAGGAACACGGATTCTAAGATACGCGAATGTATCGCCACCTATTATCAACCCACCCAAAACTACATGTGGCGGCAATATTTGAATATCTGGCGGCAAAAATTTGAATTGCCGGCAGGTTCCCCAGAAATTTATTAATTTCGGATGCATAGGCCATTTCATTTGTAAGAAAACTCAAATGAATGGGAAAACTCATTCATTTGAGTTTTCTTACAAATGAAATGGCCTATGCATCCAAAAGAGCACTAGATATTTAACAAATGATCTTGAAATAAAACAAAAACGTTTTCTCATTGAATTATTATTCATTTCACTTTTATGGATCCTTATTATTATTTGGACACGAAATCAACATAATTTTGTAATGTTCGTAGTCGTGGTCGAATTACCTAGGTAATTCAAATGAAAAGTTTCAGTGTTTTCTTCTCTACAAATGAATAATTTACATAAACCACTTTAAAAAAAACGGTACCACGAAAACACTTAAGAAACGGTATTTACAATGAGAAGCATCAGGATATACACGGAAACTTGGAACAATAAAGATAATTATGCATAAATAATTATTATTTATGCATAATTATCTTCATCTTGCGTTTGAGCGCAGATGCTGATGCTTCATCTGCAAACAATCTGTTTTTTAGTATACAAAATCTTTTCACACATATAAAGAAAACACTTTCTATGATGTGGTGAATATTTTGTGTGCCATGTTGTTCGCATTTTTTTATGTAATCAAAATTTACATTTTGGAGCACCATTTCCTTTGCAATTGTTTTTAAATTACGTTTGTGACTTTTTTCTTTAAAAAATGAATTTATTAATGTCGCACACTTTTCAACACATGATATAATAGATTTATTTGCATAGTGCAAACTTTTTTTCAACTCATTGTATTCTTTATAGTCTACAAATTTGTGGACTTTTTCCACATTTGTGGATACAAAAATATGCTTGCATGGCTCACAATTGTTGACACTGCATATTTTTTTAATTAAAAATCCGCAGACATATGCGCATGCTTGCATTTCTGCATTGTCCTCTTCAATATTTTGTGGTTCTACTGAAGACGACAATGCAAATGCACTGCACTCTGATGCCAATATGTCTGCACAATTCCTGGGTTGTGAAACTGACAATAATGTCTCATAGTTATTCATTACGACATTATTGTCAGTTTCACAATTACATCCTGTGGTCCCAATATGTGCCAGTCTGCTCAAAATTGATGTTTTTAAGCCAGCCACAAACTGGCCCACAGTTGGGTTGGAATTTGAGCCACAGTTGCCCCTTATGCAGCCAAACAAATTTTCTAATGGATCTTGCTGTAACCGTCTTGTGGCCAGGCTCTTTATACCCTCATTAGCGAATTGCTTAAACAGCCGCTCGACGCCATTAATGGTCCAAATCCAACCTTCCTGTGATGGGGGTGTTCGCAAAGACCCCATAAATTTCATTGTTTTGAAAAAATATTTCATATTCTGAAATAATTTGTGGTGTGGGCTTTTCGCTGTCATGTTTGTGGAGAAAATTTTTCCACGCCGCAAGTCTGCTGAGTCGCTATTCAGCGCGTCAAAAAGCTTGTCGATATGTGATATCACATTTGCAGTAACAGCAGCTTCTGTACTGAGCGCGCCTGGAAATACGAAATAAAAAATGTAATAGAACTAATGAGCTATCTTATGACACATTTCTTCTACACTGTTACATACCATCAGCTATCTTTGCATAAAGTCCTGCTGCCACTGTGTGGCTCAAAACTTGTGCAGCTAGTTTGACGCGCATTTTTTGTTTTGCATTTGGGTTTAGGTGATCCTTTGTCAAAGCAGGAGCGAACACAAAATTTGGGTTTTTGTTGTCGATTTCAAAGAAATCTTTTATGTGAGACCATTTGGCCACACCTGTAAATTAACAAAAAGTAGTTTTTAATAGAGGCAAGTACTTGGATGATAAGCGTAAATAAAATATTGTTAAACTAAAAGGGATGCTAGAGGGAAGTGTTAAGTGCACCACCAGCTTAAGAGCCTTTTAATTTTTAATAGAAAAATTTGAATTATCTTAAAATTAAATGGTTTTAGCAGGTCGTGCAATAGGCCCTAAGTGTTACAAAATTTATCATATTTTTGTTTAAACAGTCACAAGAACATACCTTTTCCTTTCTTGACTTCAGATGAAATGTTAGTAGTGCACTCAATGTCATATTTTAAAAAAAGATTTCTAAAGCATTTGACAAGATGTGGTGTGTCAAATAATGTCACAATCTCTTTGTTATGCACTGTTATGTATGGGCGCTCCACAGTTGCACCCAAGATTGACAGTGCTCGTCTATTTACACCATCCATGTCACAGACAGTGGCAGATATGTTAATACCTGATGCAAAACATTGCTGTAAGATCTGAAACAAAAGATATTGTTTTATATTAGTTTAAGGCATTCTAAAGGTGAATAGTAACAAAAAAATTTTTTTAAGTTAATACCTCTTTCAAAAGCACTGCAAGCCTGTCCGCTGTTGAAAAGCCACTTGAGAAGAAATGTGCAATCGGTTGTTTTACAGTTTTCCTTATGCCAGCAACCATAAAAACTAGGGCATGGGATGCCACATTGGGGGACCTTCCTTGTGCCCCATGATCTTGGTATCCATCAATGACATCTTCCTTTGGGTTATAATCAAAATGTTTCTTTAATGATATTTCATCGAACATTAAAATATAATTATTGTCCGATCGCTGCTGTGTTTTTAAAAATTGTTTGAGTACTTCCAGTACTGGCTCGGTAATACCTATAGCAAAAGGCACTCTGTTCAGCAAAGCCTTTAGGGTGCCTGGAGATGGTAAATAAAATAATCTCCTCAACAAGCGGTAACAAGTTGGTGACCTTTTAAATAGCCTCAAGGCTACAATTTTTTCCTCCTTTGTCCATCTCCTTCCAGTGATTTTTTTATTATAATTTCTTAATTGCCCTTGGAGCAAAAGAGCGAATGTTGGTGAGATTTTCTCTGAAAGTTTTCGTAAGGAGTTGCTTTCTGTGAGGGCATTTAATTGCAGTTTGAGTTTCATGTTCTTTATTCGATTACGCAGTTGGCAAACACTGTGCATATATTTCAAGCATTTTTTGTAAGTCTTGCTCTCTTTGTCAATTTTCTCAGATTCAAGAACATCCGTTGTTGATTGGAAATTTCCAATCTCCCTCAAAGGGATTCTTTTTGATGGCCCTGCTTGAGGTTCTTGAGGTATGTGTGAAGGGCCTGGCTGCAGATTATCGGGCAATGTAACCGCAGGAATGAATACAGGTCCAATCTGTAATTACAAGAATAAATCAAGTCACAGTCCTCATTTACTATCGTAATGTTTTTAGGTTTATGTAGGTAGGCCTACATACTTCAAACTATTACTATGTTTAAATTATAACAAATTTTGGTTAAATTAAATACAATGGTGAGTAAAGTTCATAACTTACCTCATGCGGAACTGCAGTTCTTAGCAATGATTTTTTAGTGCCATCTGTAAAATCACCTTCGTGGAAGTGATTTTGGCACAGCATCCTGTGCTCAGCATACAGCTTTTTTTGAAAAGCTATTGAAGTGTGCTGTTCATCCGAGGGAAAAAGGTATTTTGCCCACAGGGTGCAGCTGAAAATAAACGGGCATAAATGTAGTAGATATCAAAGGTAAGGAGTAAGAAGCACGTAATTATTCTTGTCAAATTCAAGGCGTAGGTTCCATCGACTAGAACTTGAACTACATTGTATTTTAACCACGACAATTTGACAGTTGTAACAAAGACCAAACGTTGTTGACTGCTTTCTAGTTTCTTGGGAAATGCAAAAAAAGTTCCAACGTTGACGTATAGGTTGAAATATTGTCAATCGATTTGATGTGATGTTAACTAAGAAGTTAATTAGTTTAGTACGTACCGCAAAAGATTCCGAACTCCGGGATTTGGAAAACGAAACAAAGAAACGTTTTCCTTTGCCGTGGATTTGCCACACTTCGAACACCTGCGACTGTCTTCTTTACGGTTTTCTTTAGCGGCCGACATTTTCACAGATTTCAAGAGTCACTATCTCAAAACGGGCACAAAACATAAACGGAGGAATTAAAACTCAACTCGACGTTCGTAGTTTGGGTAAATGACGAAATAGCATGGAAAAACAAACATTCGGGCCACAACAACACCGACAACACCAACCTTGATGTAAAATCGCCATGTTGGTTTTCTAGGTTCTAGGACAATGTTGCTATTATAAAATTTATTTAAGCATGAATGTTTATATCTTGACAGTGGCAATAACTGCCCAAATAGGTATTTTATTTCTCCCATACAAAGTTGATCCCCCCTGGGCACGAAACTCTAGCGCTGACCGTTATTGCGCAGAAGTAAAAAATAAGGTACCTGAGGGGGGCTAGCGGGCGCGCGTAGCGTCGATTGGCTCTCCAGTCGCATTCCGTCCCCCGCGCGACAGTACACATGCGCAGCAATCCCCTCCACGTATCGGCCAGCGCTAGACTTACGTGCCGCTGCCAAGATCTATTGATAATATGTAAGACTAAAATGTATTTTTATTTTGTAAAAAGTATCTATTGCATTGTTTTATAATTAAAAGCAGACTTAATGTTTTGAAGGTATAATTTTAGTTCATGTATGTATTTTTTTATAAAAAATAAAATATAATATTAACTTTGATTAATTATTTTGATAAATTATGTAAAACTTATCACATTTTATCAATTATAGCTGGTATCAAATGTCAAAAAAGGACAAAGTCATCCTTGCAGTGGTCATTTAGAAATGAAAATAATTGATAAATCATATTTACACAGTCGAAATGATTGAAAGGTTATGGCAATTTCAATTAAGATAAACATCAATGCATTTAATTATTATAAGCTGCACAGCCGAGGATCGAACCTACGACCCTAGCGATAAGAGTCGCATTGTGTATTAAATGTCAATAGGTCCAATTTAATAATTTCCCTATTACACCTTATTTGGCTAAAGTTCCTAATCTAGTAAATATAACCTATGTATGCGTAAATTTTTATCTCATTCAGTCTAGCAGTCCATTTTGTAAAGGTTATAAGGCATACCTGAGATATCTAAGCAAATATTGCAAGCAGTATTGTTTCCAAGAACCAACGTTGTCGTATCTACAAATTAAAAAGCGATTAACTTAAATCTATCGATTTTAAACAAGTCATGAAATTTTAACTTGAATAGCATGTATTTGTTCAATTAGATTTAATATTGTGAGATTTGCATGGTGTTTTGTTTTTGTTTGAATTGACATTAACTGTAATTAATTTATACTGTATATGTAAACTGTAACCCAATTTTATTTATTAGTTACGCCCTTATAGTGAGTGTTTGTGCGTATTTTGATAAGTATATAGGCAAAGTTTTAGTTAATATATTATCAGTCTAACTTCTCTCATTATTCCCTAACTAATTTTCTCCTTATCCTTACAATTGTGTACCTTTCTTCATGTTAAGAATATATCGAAACGAGGTGTGTACATAGGCTGCCCTAAAACTATCGGGAATGGAATAATACCACTGTTCCTGTCATATTTAAATCTTTTTAATTGAAAACTCCTTTTTTATAAATCGAATACCATTTTTTTTTTTAAAAAGATTCATGGTCTTTTCACAAAGTTTTGTCAAACTTGTTTAGTCGTTGAGAAAATAGAATTGACTCGAGAAAATTCAAGAGCGATGATTTATTATGACTTTCGAAGTGGTTTATCACAAAAACAGTGTGTTGATCGGATGAGTTCTGCATTTGGTGATGAAGCCCCATCCAAAACCACTATTTATCGCTGGTTTGCTGAATTTCAACGTGGACGTGTCAAGCTCAGTGATGATCCTCGTCAAGGTCGTCCAAAAACTGCAGTCATCCAAGAAAACGTTGATGCTGTGCGTAAGCTGATTGAGGAAGGTCGACATGTGACATATCGCGAAATTCAGGCAACTTTAGACATTGGCATGAGTCAAATACAAATAATCTTGCAGGTGTAAAAAAGTTGCTTTCGCGATGGAGACCGCATTCGCTCTGTGAAGAGCAAAAAGCGGCTCGCGTTACTTGGTGCGTCAGAATTCTCGAAAGATTCCACGCAGGATCCTCAAATGATATATACAACATCGTATCAGGTGACGAATCCTGGATATACGCGTACGAACCCGAAACAAAAAACCAGTCACGAGTTTGGGTGTTCGAAAATGAGTTAAAGCCAACGAAAATTGTTCGTTGACGGAGTGTTGAAAAAAAAAATGGTAGCCATGTTTGTCTCCAAAACCGGCCATGTTGCGACTATTCCTCTTGAGGGACAAAGAACGGTTAATGCAGAACATAATTGCACGGTATGCTAGCATTTGTTTGCCACAGGTCGTTTCTGAACTCCGTAAAGAGAACTGCAACCGCCGCATCATCCTCCATCACGACAATGCGAATTCTCATACCGCGCACAGAATAAAATAGTTTTTAGAGCAAGAAAACATAGAATTATTAGACCATCCGCCGTACAGCCCCGACCTAAGCCCTAATGATTTCTATACTTTCCCTAAAATAAAGAATAATTTGCGTGGTCAGAGATTTTCATCACCGAATGGAATGGTTGCTTCAGTGATTGGTTCCATCGTATGAAAAATGTGTCAAATTTCGCGGAGAATCTTCGAAAAGCAATAAATACATTTTTAAATAGTAATGTTGTGTCACTTCCTTGATTCCCGAAATTTTCAGTGCTGCCCTCGTATGTACACTTTACATATTATGGCATTTTAATAAAATTAGGTAATTATTGACTCTTATAACTATTATTTATCTTTATCTGTATGACAATAAATCTATGAGCTGTTGTATTTTTATGACATTAAAAGATGTAAACTTTGGGTTTATTAAAGCCTGGTAATCTAATATATAAAATTCTCGTGTCACAATGTTCGTTCCCATACTCCTCCGAAACGGCTCGACCGATTTGATGAATTTTTGAAGTATATATATTTCTTTATACGCGTTATGAAAAATTGATGAGACAAAAATTAACAGAATGAAGTTGCCCACGGAAGATGCTACGGCATTGGACATAATTTAAAAACAACATTCGAATAATAATAGAATTTATACACTTAATGTAAGAGAATAATAATAAATATTTATTTATTTAATTTTTCAAACTGAACTTTATTGACTAAAATGACTCCTTTTGCAGTCTTTGATTATTTAATTGTAATAAATTATTTGCATGCATTCAAAAATTATTTTTAATAATGCCAAAGAAGTATAACTTCTTACGCGCGTACATAAGAGTACACGCACCCTTTTTTTATGCATATTCAGTAAGTCTGAGAATCGGCTACTATCTATCTTTCTAACCCTTAAGTGATAAGGGGTGTCCACACCAAAATTTTCTTTTTAATTTTTAGACAATTTCTTTTGTTTGTATGTTTTTTTGGTACAACATACATACATTAATTACTTAATTTTCACCCCTCTACGATCAACCCCTATTTTTTTATTTCTTAATTTAAAACTTTTGACTTGAACTCAGAGGTTTATATAGAAAAAAATCACAGAAAAACCTAAAAAGTTTTCAATCCGGAAAATCGAACAGTGTCCGGGGTAGCATAGCAAAATGTTCCATGTTGGTAGGTACTAAAAAGATAGGCTAAGTAAAATCACATTAAGGAGAAACGAAGTTCGCGGGGGCAGCTAGTTGGTATATCTAACAGCCGTAAAGCTCTCGAACCATGTAAATGATATAACAATTAAGGTGATAATAACAATACAAGTCTAATTATAAAATTATTTATTTCTCTTTTTAACTCTTTTTAAATTTTCCAGGTTTTTGAGTGCGCTTCTAAATGACGGCTGAATGTCCAACGCTCTCCGGTACATTGTTTCAGCTAGATCATATTTCTTCCAACGGTGGTACAAAACACCTGCAAATTTATTTTTTAATTACGATATAAGCTGACATTTTTTACCTTTAGTAAATTTTTCTGTATACATATACGGTCGTAACGATGAGATTCAAAATCGAGACTTAGCACCAACTATGTACCAATGCAAGTGCCGGCGGCAGAAATTGGTACTACCGTCGCCATTTTGAAATGTCAGGCTGACATTGCCAGTTAGCTCGCAAATACAATAAACAATTTTAGTATCTACTTTTTATTCCTTAATTACAATGGAAAAGTTTTAATCATCGAACGGTTCTGATTGCTGAGTATCTTAAACATTTATTTAAGCTTAGAACTGTATTTTCTAGATACTAGTATACATTGTTTTATTAAGACATTTCAATAAATTATTAGGTTAGCCTGCGTTATCCAAATTATTACCCTTATAATGGTTAATTTTTACTACTGGCAATAATCATGACAGCGACGCTCTTACCGGCCAACAAAAGTATGTGGCACTGTACGCCAAGTGACGGAATCTGGCGACACCAAACGGATGTAATTATAATTACAGATAATAAAGAACGATGTAATGTTTATCACATTACACAAATCATATTTTAAAATACTTCACTACAATACATAGTAATATATTTATAAGATTTTTATACAGCTTCACAGATTAGTAAAACATATTTTTTTTGTAATCTTAAACAACACACAGCAAACTCGATATTCTACATACACTATGGTTATGGCATCTTGACTAAGCCCCCTTAAAACGATAATATAAACTTGTTATGGCTATGAATCACAGCTTTAGTCTCTGACAGTTCCAACACATGAAATTTCTATACAGTTTGATGAATGTTTGTGCTTCCGTTTAGTTCCGAATGCGCCCACGGAGCGCTACCTTGTTTTTCATAGTAAATATATTGTAACTATTTTATTACGCTACGACAATTACTTTCAACTCTACTCTGAACTATGTGACTATATGACTCTGAAATATGTCGGAGCAATTGCGATACTGTCAGCTGCCATTGTCGTTATGTCACTAATAAATTAAGGTCAACGTCAAAGTCGTTACCGCTTCTTTTTCCCACCAAAGAGCTTTATGCCCTAGCCGATGTATTAACAATTCGTCAATTATTTATTCTCAACACAGTTCTAAAACAACATCATAAAACTAGTTACGACCCCGATTTAAATATAAACAAGCGGATTAAACATAAAGTTTGCTGTTGTATTACAAAATGGACAACTTCTTTCTCGCAAAGATTCTTTGGTTTCCTAGGCTGTTACTTGTATAATAAATTAAATGAAAAAATTAACATTTACCCACTACCCAAATATGAATGTAAAAAAAAGGTTACTACTTGGCTGAAGACGTTGAGTTATGATGAAACAGAAGATCTAATAACTGTTATTCTGTAACACACCCACTCCCCCACACATATACACAAACCCACGCACACCACACACACTTAGACAGAGAGAGACACACACACAAACACACTCCAAATTTATTTTTAAGACTCCGTTTGCAATGTTTTCTTTTAGCACTTAATACTTATTTTCTTCTATTGTATCTTATGACAATGACATGATTGTACGTGTTCCGGTCCGGTGTGGAGAGGCTGGCTATCTGTCACTCAGGTCTCCTGTTACAGAGACCAGTCTCTCACATACACTTCCTAATGTTATCATCTTAGTTTAATCATAAAAACCTTGTATGTATATGTGAGAGAATAAAATAAAGATTATTATTATTATTAGTTTAACAACCTTTTTCTGTGGTGTATTCGACTAATATTGCTAAATCTTTAAATTAACGACTATTCAATATAATAAATATGTCTAAAATATTGAAACATCGTCGGTTAACTTACCTAAATTCGCAAAATGTATAGGTTTTACATTAATTCCAAATAATTCGATAGCTCTTAGAAAATATTCCTCCGCGTCTTCATATTTATCCATTTTCCCATAAATATTCGCCACCGCGAATTTGATTGATGGTGATTCTGGGAGTTCTTTGAGAGCTCTCGGTATTAATTGCAGAGCTGTGTCAATCTCACCTAAAAAATATTGCATCATTTATTAGTGGAAAGGAAATTGTTTTATCAAAGTAACATCTGCTTTTTGTTATGGAATTAGGTTTGTTATGGGAACAAACAAAAATCATTTATTCGTGTAGGTAACACAATGTACACGTCTTATAAACGTCAAAAAAATATATATACATTAAATGCTTCTAATTTTAGATTTACTGCCAGTTCTCAAATCAAGGGCGTAGAACGGAAGAGAAGAACTGGCAATAAACTCTCCACCACTCTTTTTTTGTCACCAAGTTTTTGTTTTACACAACGTTGGTGAGGAGCTGCAACCATTACACCATGTTCCACATTACATCTAAGTAATAAATAATAATAAAATAAATTTAAACCAAAGATGTGTCCTCTATCAGCAGGAGGCATGGTGAAATAGGAGCACGCACTTACATTCTCGTGGGATCAACACGCAAATACTTAACATCACCGCATACACGACTTCAAGTACCACCCGTTCACGAGTATGACGCATGGCCAGCCATCGGCCCACTCGCCATATTTTAGGGAGTCGCATGGACGCCGCCACAAGCGACATTTAAGCGAGCATGACGATCCTTGAAATGTGGAGAGCTGAGTACCCTGACACAGGTATTTTTTACTTGAAAGGGTTCCCAAATCTTACACATTGTAATGCATATTTTTTTTAATGTCTTTCTGGGTATATATATTTTGTATGTTTATATAACTTTATACTTCTACATCCAACTGTAAACCCGTATGAAAGCTATATTGCCAAACTTTCCCTATGCATAGGGCTCATGAATATACCAAGCGGGAGTCAGTCGATTGTTGATGTTCTTAACGATGAAGCATCTCTGTTTTATTTATTGTAACTAAAATACTTTTTCAGTGTATTTTAAATTACATATATATATATAACGTATTTAATTATCTTATTTATTTCTTCTTTTATTGTACATATAATTAAACAAACTCGTACCGCACGGTTCCTACAGTACTTTGCACCTAACTCCAAGATTGTAAACAAATATTGAGTGTGGGTACCCACATATATTGCAATTACGATGCTTTGTTTAAAATTAAAGACTTGTCAAATTACCAATTAAACTGATTTAGTGTTTGTGAAGGGAGATAGATTAGAAATTAAACCGCTTCAATTATAATATACTGCTTTTATAGATATATCCTACCGTCATTTTAATTCGTGATTCTTAAGATTAATTTTTAGGTAAAAAATGTTAAACTCGCGTCAGGACAAATTCGTAAGACGGATGTTTTTTCAAAGGATTATTATGAACCTTCGTGCTATATAGTTACGGGTATAATTCATTTGTCTCTTTCCTCAGATACATTGATGCATGTGGAATTGGACCTTAAGTCAATACATCAAGGTTTAATTTTGCGAAACGTCTAAAGCTTTATTATTAACGATTTGGTCAGACTGACACGAATAAAAAATGGCAACTTAAAAAATAGTGAATTTTCCTAATTGAATTATTTAATACTAATTTTAATTATTTGTGTAGGTTTCGTAAGACGGATGAAGAGTAGACAGCTGGCGCGGCATATTTAATACATATACTTAATATACCTAAATTGTCATGTTTGTGTATGATAGCGTAATAAATAAAAATTGTATTCTACCACATAAATGATAGTACTTTTATACTGATAATAAAAGCAATTCGTGCAAATTTATTCCCTAACCATTCCAAAATATCAAAAATGCACAACGTTAATATTCCGGTTTTCACTTCTGCCGGCACTGCCCGGAGTGCAAACCGTCGTTTTTTTAGGCTTGGTATTGCATAGCGTTTTCCTTACTAGGGATGCCTGGAGAGATCGCTAGTTTAAGGACCCCCGTTGCCTACTCAATAATTCATGTTAGGGGGCGTCCATAAATAACGTGTGGTTTTTTTTAATTTTCTGTAATGGTGAGATGTCGTGAGATTTTATTCAACCCCCTTCCCCATCCCCCAATCACACGTGAGATTTTTCAAAATTGGGTTTCTTACGTAAACGCGTTGGATTGTTGTAAAAAGAAAAAAAAATGCTTCGTGCTTTTATTTACGACTAAAACAAAATAAGTGAAATGTTGAGCGTTTAGGAGTTAGCGGGAAGTTGCAGAATTTTTTTTTCAATCAAAAAAAAATTGCGTGATATTTGCCGAGACCTCCCCTCTCTCCAACGTAAAATTAAATGAGATTTGACTCGCCCCCTCCCCCCCTTATCTGATTGTGTATGTACCACAAATGCAAAAATTATAATTAACCTTTTACTTACCATTATTATCCAGCATCGCCAGCAAATTGGTCCAAGCCGAATTGTGTTTTGGATTCAACTCTATAGCATTCAACCAAGACTCCATAGCCGTGTCGATTTTATTTATTTCTAAATACTAAAACGAATTTATTTGTGAATACAGGTGGATAACTAAACATATTTTGGACTACAAATTAAGTACAAATTGACGTACAAAGAACTATATATATGTATTATGTATATGAAAAGCGAGGAAAGCGAAAAAGTTTCGTCCGATGCAGTCCGTGATATCGGACGAATTAAATAAAAAAATCAGTGATAATACAAACAACAATAATAACTATAAATAGAATTAAACTATATTTTGTGAATTATTGCTATTCCTTGAACTCTGAGTAAGGTTTTTAAGGAGCGAAAAAATGGAAAAACAAATAGTTTTACATAATACTTTGGTTTTTATTGCGGAAAAGCAAACAGTCTCTATGGGGTAGCTTGAATATTCTATATGTTGGTATGAAGGAAAAAGGTAGGCAAAGTAAAAATTAAATTAAACCGAAACGAAGTTCGCAGGAGCTAGCAGGTAATAGAATTTTCAATAAAAATTGCTATATACCTGTGGAAACTATTGAAAAGAGAAAAGTGATGTACAATCTATAGATTACATAATTAATTTTTTTTTTCAAGTCAAGTCAAATCATTTAATTCAATTAGACCACCTAAAATGGCACTTTTGAACGTCAAAATAAAATATAAAGAAGATTCTAGTTGCCCCTAAACTACTATACTAAAAAAAGTTAGTATACAACACACATATTTACAAATATCGAAACGGTAGAAGGAGTAATTAAAAAAAACACAATAAAGCAGTGTGTAATATAAAAACAACAATCAATTTTCTTACCAGGTTTCCCATATTATAATAACAATCTGGATAATTTTTACGATACTTCAAAGCGTTTTTGTAAGCCATTTCCGATTGTTTGTACCTTTTGGTACTCGCCAAAATGATGCCTAAATTCATCCAGGCAGCCGGAAAATCTGATCTGTAAGATTTTGAAACTTTGGATAAAATTGAAAAATTTTGGGAGATTAAAATAAAATTTAACTATAACTCAAAGGTTCGGACTATGACTCCAGTATGTCTAAATTAATTTATTGACGTCTACGCTCTTTCCTTAGTTAACATTCCGTTGAATGTTATTATTATGAAAACCGTTGCTTTAGTTTCCATAATAATAACTTAAATAATGATTAACGTTTTATAAATGATTCCTAAACAATGTCTTCAAATATCTGGTAAATCTATCATAAGCCCGAATCGTTTGTAATTCTTCCTAGAAAGATATTGGAGCGACTCATGGCCATGTGTAATACCTTTTCAGAATCCCTATTAAATGCCCCAAAACTTGTAATACATGGTCACTTTTCGGTAGAGTATTTTTTTTTTACAGTGGGGTCCGAAGTAAACAAAAAGTATCATAACTTTTTAAGAAATTTTTATATAGTACTAGTAGACCCCACAGACGTTGTCCTGCATGATATTTAAAGCGATTATGATATTTAGCAAAGTATGAAAGTACCGACTGCAGTGCCATCTGCCGGGCTGATTTGTGAATCTAAACCATTCCCAGATCCCCTTGAACACACACAAAAAATTTCATCAAAATCGGTCCAGTCGTTTGAGAGAAGTTCAGTGACATACACACTCACAGAAGAATTATATATATAAAGATAACTTAATATTATAAATAATATATCTAACGCAAGAACTCATGAGTACCAATCTAGTGAATATTATGAAAACGATACAGGATATAGATTTTTACGAATTTTAATAAGAATTAGTAAAAAAAATCAAGTTTCTTATAAAATCGCAAAATAAATTATAACTCTGCAAAGATGGAGTCTAAAGACCTCCCGTAGAACAATTTGTTGCAGCTTATGACCTCATCTATACCCTAGATGCGTTTGATCCACGACCTATGGCCATCCTGTATATATCTACATAACTAAATTATAAACGATATAATTTCTCAACCTATAGTATAAATAAAAAGGCATTTATATTAAAAACCACTACACTGATTTTGATGAAACTTGGGACAGCTCCTGGAACTAAATCCCCACGTTCTAGAATTGGCATTGGTTTCCGTTTTTAACGGATGACCTCCTTTATTTGAAGTTGGTTAAAATAATTAATACATACTTCAGTGCGAGGGCTTTTCGTAAATACGATTCGGCATCGCCAAATTGTTTATGATTCTTCAACAAATTTGCAAAATTGTTCATTGCTTGATAATACTCGGGGTACAATCTGAAAATTAACAAATGTTATAGGTAAAGATAGCAGTGTTGGCCTAGTGGCTTCGGCGTGCGACTCACAGCCCTGAAGTCGTAGGTTCGATCCCAGGTACCAATAGATTTTTCTCCATGTGCGCATTTAACATTCGCTCGAACGGTGAAGGAAAACGTCGTAAGGAAACCGGCTTGCCTTAGACCCAAACAGTCGAAGGCGTGTATCAGGCATAGAAGGATGATCACCTACTTGCAATACAAAATCTCTGTATGTACAAGTAGCGGCACGAAACTCTAGCGCTGACCGTTATTGCGCAGAAGTAAAAAATAAGGTAACTGAGGGGGGCTAGCGGAATGAAGAGCGTCGATTGGCTCTCCAGTCGCATTCCGTCCCCCGCGCGACAGTACACATGCGCAGCAATCCCCTCCACGTATAGGCCAGCGCTAGACTTACGTGCCGCTGCCTATACTTTATGGTTCTTCCACATACTTTATGTAATTTTTATAGCAGATACTTTATTAAATTATATTTTAGCTGTATTATCTTTTAATATTAACGATTATTAAGATTTATCATTTTAGAATCTACCCTCCACAATATGTAATTTTTCTTCAATAAATATTTATCATGTCTTTGATAGGTATAAAAACACGTGAAACTACCCTCCCTCGATAATTTTTAAATTATATTTTACCTGCCTTATTGCCTCTTTATATTCCTCCATGGCCCAAGTCAAATTATCCTTTGCATCAGCAACTTTCGCAATATTATAATGAACTTTTGCGTTTAAGGGACACACTTGAAGCCCACTTGTAAATAGTTTAAATTCATTTTGCCACTCGAATGATCTTTGAGCGCTTTTCAGTCCATATATTAATACGACGAAGTAAAATAAATACAATGTTAACTGAAAAAAAAAACATTTATAATATAAGTTCTACGCCATCAATTATGAGTGCGTTGCCGTCCTATGGAGTAAAGGCTATTTGTAAAAAATCAGGGTTTAAATCGCTTCCAAATAAAAAATAAAATAAGTTTTTTGAAAGAGTAGCAAAAGAGTCAACGGGACTGCTATAGATGGCTATCGCAGCCCATATACACCCATTTTTATGAGTGCGTTGCCGTCCTTTGATAGAGTAACCATTTATAGGCCATCAGTAAAATAAATTGTGCGTGTACTAGGTGTACACACGTAAGAAGTGAAACTTCTTTATGATCTTATTTTTCGAAAAATGATCTACTATATGCAACTTTACAGAAATTCGTTAAATTAGATAAAGTTTAACAAAAGGCTTTTATTACCATGGACATGAATACAAATATTTCATTTTACCTTATTACTACGAAGATTATTATAGAATTTCATTAATTGTAATATAATTATTACTATCATTGAAAAACGTGACGATTTGCTACAAAATTTCTCCCATACGTCGATAAAGAAGTTTCATTCCAACGCCGATAAAGAAGTTTGACTTCAAAAAGCAACATGGCGCGTAACCGAAAAATGTGACGCGTAACGAAAAGATGTTACACTAAATTTTTTTTCCAACCTCGATAAAGAAGTTTCACTTCAAAAATCTGTGGTATATTTAAATCGCTTCCAAATAAAAAAAAACTGTGTGTGTGTCAGCTCCGACGCACGACTGAAGTTTACTCCTTAAGTACGATTGTCTAAACATACGCAAAAAGAGTTTAGTTAACTGAAAAAAGATTAATACCATATGAAAGGGTAAATTAACAAATTAATGAAAATAATAAAGCTTTAGCCGTTTCGCAAAATTAAACCTTGAAGTATTGACTTAAGGTCCAATTACACATGCATCAATGTATCTGAGTAAAGAGACAAATGAATTAAAACCGTAACTATATAGCACGAGGGTTCATAATCCTATAAAATATAGATGCGCACCAAAAACGTAACGATTCATCAGTAGATTTTACTCCTCACATTTTTCTCATACCAGGCGCCTTATATATGAAAATCGATTCTTAAGGAGTAAACTCCAAAAGAAAATAAGTTTTTTATATGACTGTCAAGAGTTAACGGGATAGCCATAAATGGCTATCGCAGCCCAAATACACTCATGTTTATGAGTGCGTTGCCGGCCTTTGAGGGAGTAAAGACCATTTATAGCAAATCATCAGTTAAATATATCTGAGTATAAATTGCTTTCAAATATAAAAGAAAATAGGTTTGGTTGGCCTTCTGGTAATGTATGAGTTGTAATCCTATTAATTGCTGTGTTTGCCTAGTGGTTTGAGTGTGCCTTTAATGTGCGCTAATAATACTCGCTAGTACCAAAACTCGTAATCACAAACATTCTCGAAACACAGCTGATTCCTTTTTAAAAAAAAATATTCCGAAACAGATCTCTGAGGCCAAGAGCTTGTACCACTGGATCTTTTCTGTCAATTCCGTCAGCGGCTGAAGGCCTATCTTTTTATTTTTCAGTTACTTTACTTTCTTACTTAGTAAGTACTATTTTTTTAATATCCTATAAGAAGTCAATAATACTTAACATACATGAATCTATTATTTTTTATTCGTCGTCGTTTTCGGCAACGGTTACATTATACATTTTTACCGACGCATAAACTTAGTGGCCCGAATTGATTCCCGGCGAAACAACATTCAGGTTGGGAAGCACAATGCTTGGTACAAATTGTCCGATAAAACGGACACACATTTGTCATTGAGGTATTACTTCCAAAACATTAATAGAATGTGAACTGTGGTGTGGCTAAAAGACACCAAGTTTATCTCCAGTATCTCTAACAGCAAGGTACGGTAAAATAGGAACATGGGTAACACTTATTAAGGTAAATCAAATACTGACCTTTCTAAGAACCAACGATTTCAGTCTTACAATTATCTTTTGAAGACCCACAGCAACGAGTAGACAATATCCCGCAGAAGGAATGTATAGAATCCTTTCGGCCACCACAAAACCAACCGGATAAAAAAGATTTGAGGCCGGCAAGAATGGTATTATCATGAGACTGGTGGAAAGAATTAATATCCTGAAAAAAAAGTATATGTTATACTATTCACAAACATGTAAATTGTTCTTATCTTAAGTATCAAATCAAAATCGTATCAAAAGTGTCGCTACAACCCTTGACTTTTTTATATTTTTGTACATGATCTTTTTTTCAATAGTTGAGAACCCGACAGACGTTGATTTTAAATTATATGGCATACCGGTTATCTTACTATGTTTCCTTCTCCGTATGAACAAATATTAATAGCGCAAATAGAAAGTATTATTTGAGTCACTAAACCAACTTTTATTCAAGTTTCTTATTTAGGGGTATGTATTAAACAATTCAAATTCATAAAAATTAAGAAAACACATTGTTTTTTAATAAATGAAATTTCATACCTATATGGTCCTCTTGATTTGTAGACATACACACCAAACAAACATAATGCTGCATATAATGAAATTATAAATAATATTCTAAAATCTGAGTAATCTTGTATAAGGGGAATGCAACCCATGGACCAGTCGTAACATGACCACTGAGGCCAGACAAGCAGTAAAGCATTTATAAAATAGATATAGTTATGAGTTGCAATCTGAAACAAAAATATACCCATAACTTTATATGTGCCATGTACAAATAGAAGAAATAGCCATTTGTGCACAGCCGTGATTCGAGAATACAATCTAAGGAATGAGAAGCGCACACTCAAGCCACTAGGCCAACACTGCCTCTTTGCATTGTCAACTACTCACCCTTGAGAAAGAATTATTTGTGAATGCCGCAGGATTATCTGTTGACTTAAATACAGGTTTAACCCCAGCCATAACCATCCATCTTAAATATAGGAAAACAGCAATTGCACATAGTACTACGAATAATCTGGAAATTGATGTGTTGTACTTTTTCCTAATATCAGTAATATTATGTGTTTTTAAATCTCTTTTAATAAATTTCATCTTTGCAATAATTTCATATACAGTACAGAAACCCTGTAATAAAAATAAAATGTATATTTGAAAGGGGTATCAAGCTACTAGATTATTATTACCTTTAAAAATGATAACTTACCAACACTGTAATACCATTTTCTTTAAATAGCATAGAAATTCCAGAAAATAAGAGAGAAATAAACAAATAACCAAAACTCTGCCCATTCATAGCTTTATCATACATTAGAAATGATAAAAAAAATGATATTGCTGCTAATATGTCAGCTCTTCCTACAATACCAGATACATTTTCAACATGAATGGGATGTGTGCTAAATAACATTATTGCTGAGAATCCCACATCCATACAACTTGAATGCTTAAAGTTGCATTTATTTAAAATAATCTTGTATATAATCAATAGCAAACTACAGCATAATATATGCAGTACTAGATTGGTTATCTTAAATTGGAATGCAGATAATTGTCTCCTATTTATTAAATAGTTGAGTCTGAAATTAGAAAAAAACTATAAATTTATATAAATTTATTAAACTTTTTTAATTTTACAATGTCAGCCCTTATATTATAAGGGCTTTTATTGTAATTTTGTTGTGATCTTGTGGTAACTCACTTGAAACTTAAAATAGTAAGAGGCCTATATGATTTGTGGCTAAGAGAGCTATCTATTTGACTGCCCCAAAAATCGTGATAAAACGGCTCTGACCACGATACTGATGTAACGTCATTATTCTTCAAGATTGCTTCAGTATCATCAAAAACAAATTCTCCATCCAGACTTAAGAAATATGGAATACCGGCAAGGAAAACAAATATTAACTGTTGGTAAAACATATCCCTTGCCCATTATAGAGTAATTATACACATCGATTGATTCCAATTCAACTTTTTCTCTATTTGTTTGCCGTTGATTATTTTAAAAACATTAATTTTAAGAATATAATATATATTTTTAATTTCACTTGGTCGATATTGTATGTTTGTCAACTGTCGAGTGTCGACTATCATTTGTCAGCACTCAGCAGTCAGCAGTCATAAAATTCGTTATTTTTTAAACATGTAAGTGCTGTGCATTCAGACTTGTAATATTAAAAATAATAAAACCTGTTTTATGTTTGAACATTGATGTATTCCCGTTAATTCAAGTACCAAATCCTAACTGCAGCAAGCATTTCTTAATAACTCGTTTCTTTTCTGCCTCCTATCTACCTATTTGATTTAAAACTTCTAAAATATGTATTATGTGAACTGTGAGGTGTGGTGCAGATGTTAAGTTTGATTTCAAACTAGTTATGGACTGCTAATATTATCCTAAGATGTTTCACAAGTGTAGATTATGTTTAAAAATCGGCGACTTCTGCTCTATTTTTGAAAAAGATGATAATATTAAACTTTCTGATATGGTAATGTCATTTGCTAATGTAAAAGTGAGTATCCAATATCCATCCCTAATCAGCTTAATGACTGTAATGGGCGTTCATATTTTTTTCAAAATGTTGTTAATTTTAGATACATGAAGGCGATGGGTTTTCTGATCGTGTTTGCGCATCGTGCATAGAACATTTAAGCACTTCATATTTATTCAAACAACAATGTGAACGAATTGATGCCTTACTGAGAAAGCAAGGTTTGTTATCAATTATTACTTTGCATCCCATCACATTTATTTAAATAATATATAATATGTTCTATATATTTTTCAGAAGCTGATATAGACAAACCACCAACAACTGATTTTAATGAATTTTGTGAAAAAGAATTTCTTATGCATTCAACTTATGCATCTATTGAAAGTGAAAACAATGACAGTTTAAATAACGACAACTCCCAGAACTCATATTACTCGGTCAGTGATGAGACTGACAGTGATATTGAATCTATAAAATGTGTATATTGCAGCCAGTCATATGGAAATGTTGGAGGCCATAGGTGCCATGTAACATGCACTATTGAAAATAACGAACTACAACATTCAAGTAGCAATGAAACATTAGTTGCTTCAGATATGAAGCAGCCCATAAGACTTCCAGAACCAGTCACTTCCAACTTCCAAATACCAGAATATATGAGGGTTTCATGTGTGCTTTGTGATGAAGTTTATGACCAATATGATGACTATATCATACATTTAAACAAATGTACCACAAATGTAAAACTTCATCACTATGTCTGTCCAGTATGTCATGAGTTATTCACTGCGAAGTTAGCATACTTAGAGCACCTTAGAGTCATACATTTTAAGGTTGATGATAGTAAATCAAACCATAACATGAGCGAAGGAACATTCTACCATGATATAAGCAATGACAGCAGCTTTAGTCATAATACAAGTGATGGGGTGGACTGTGTAGATTTTGCTCCTATGATAGAAAAGACAAGTAAACCAAAAGCAGTCAGACGTCAAATCGGATGGTCTATTGAAGATATATATCAAGAAATTGAATGTAAAAAGGTTGATGTGAAACCTGCACACACATCGAGTCCAATTAAAAATTTCTTTTCTAAGTTGGGAAATGAGTGAGTTAAATATTGGCATGCCTGGGAACTTCAGCTTCAGATTAAACTAACATAGAACTTAAGTAAATACTTTTGTATGCTTTTAAAATAATTTTGGGTCTTTGCTTTTATAATGTACTTTACACTCAAATATGACATCGAAAAGAAGTATCATTTGAAAAAACATTACATTAGATACTAATTATTCAAATTTAGTATTGATTATGGCATAGTAACACAATTTTCTACTTGCAAGGGCCCGCCAGTCTTAGTCCGTTCCAGTATTACTGTTTCATTATAGGAAGCATGATCAACTCATTGGTCTAGTGGTTAGTACCCCTGACTGCGATCCCCGGCTGGGACGAACATCGATGTGATGAGCATTTGGTGTTGTGCTTAGGTCTTGGGTGTTTAAATATGTATTTATATGTCTATCTATCTATAATATGTATGTATATGATCACACTAATTCATTATAATAATTGTGTATGAATACACAATTATTATAACGAATTAGTTGGATTGATCAGTTTATTTCTATTGCTTTGTTTTTCATTTCCTTTGTTGTTAGTTTTAAAAACCAAAAAAATATGAAATTCATGCATCCACATCATTTGTAGGTCATTTAGCAGACAGAGTACACCTAAAAAGGTAAGTTTTCGAAAGTTTATTGAAAATGGAAAAGCGAAGACTTCTGTTTATATACCATTCCGGAAAATAATACAGAATTATAAAGACAAACGAAAGACTAGTTACAGTCCAATAGTCAATTCAAAAACTCAGGTTGTGAGTACAGTTCAAGCAACATATCCAGAAATAGTTTCAGGTGAGTTATATTTTAATAGGTGAAACAAATGTTCTAGTCTAGTAATCCGACCACTTAATGTTTGACCATGTTAATTGGCATTAAAGAATTCATTAAAAATTAATATAAATTTTATTTAATTAACTAAAATCGACCTTAGAACGCAAATTTCCGTAGGTGTCCGTTATTTTGCAAAAGAGTTTTGTTATTTTATTATTATTAGAAAGCGGTACTATCGTATGGTAATCTCGGTACAAAATCTCTAAATTGAAGTAAGACCACTACCGCTATTGGAAATTTCAGAGGACCGCGTCTAAGTGTTAGTAGTTATTGATCATAAAAAAATCGCAATGTAATCTAAGGATGCATTTTTATTTTAGCTTTCAAGTATCAAGCGCCATTTCTATAGTCTATAGTAATTGACATTTCAATTTTGTTTTCGCTAATCTGTGGCTGCCCCCGTTTTGCCGCCAATAATGCGCTGTTGCGTTTTTAATTTATTAAAACTCGCGCGTAATACAAAACGTACCTCATTATGCAGTTGCATGATATATCATTTTATTTCAGATAGCGACTATGGATCCCCGAGTGGAACTTCAGAGGACTCATGGAAAATGAAGCAAACTCTTATATGTGCTTGCGATAAGAAAATATTTATGCTGTCAGAATTTATTCATGTAAGTAGTTTTAGGGCTCCCACACAAAACTGCGAATTCGTATCGCATCGCAAATATCTGCGAATTCGCACGAACGCACCGCAAGAAATTCCGATCTGCTTCGCATCGCACATTCTTGCGATATTACGTCATCCTTGGTGACGCCATTTTAGTCCGCTCTGAGACAGCTTTAGAGAAAGACGCGCGGCGCCTCCGCCGTCTTCTTTGTTTATAAAAAATTGCGGAATATGATATGGATTTTTTAATATTTTTAATTGAGGAGCGTCCCGTCCTTTGGGACACAAGTGATGAACGTTATAAAAATAAATTTATTAAGCAAGATGCGTGGAAGAGCGTCTGTGAAAGTTTGCATCAGAATTCATAATCGTAATAAATGGATGAACCCAGAATCTTCTTTTTCTTTTATAGCTATTTAACAATAACAGCAGTGCAATTATCTTTTTGCGATCCATCTTACGCGTCCTAAAAACACGTCCAGTACGGCTGACTACGAAGGAATGGTCGCCCTACCAAACGGTTTGTCGCACTAAATCGTATCGCAGAAATTCGCATCGCATCGCATCGCAGTTTTGTGTGGGAGTCCTTAATATTGGACGGAACAATTACATTGCCACTGCAATGGACAGATTGTGTGTGAGAGATTTGAATATTGTGTATTCCTACTATAAATGTGATAAACAAATCTTAGAAATAGTGACAGTGCATTCTCAAGCCAATTAAAAAATAAGCCTGATTTATAAAACTGTCCTTGTGGTTTAGCTAGTTAGAGAATCTCTTAACTCTGAGTCAGTCAAACGCCGTCCACAAATGGTCTTTTTTTTCTGACGCAATTGTCATTTTCTTCTACGATTAAAGAAAACATCGTGGTATAGGTCGGTTATCGAAAGCTGGCGGGTTCACAGTACTCACACTAATGCAATTTCACATACAGTATGTTTCAAAATATGATTTTTTTGCCATGCTATACATTTTAGTCCACTCATACACGACGGACAGTCTATTCATGATGTATTTATGATTGTATTTCAGTTTGACATTACGTCTCGCGCTTATTCACAGACACTACACAAGCACAAAGTGTAAATGTGTTGAAGCCGCCAGCTTTAGTTAACATACCTATACACGCCTTTGACCCAAAAAATTAGAAGTCACAAATCAGAAACAGATAATGACAAGTTATGATTTGTGATACCAAATTAATGAAATTCTTAAAACCTTTTCTTCAGGACCGCGATAGAATAACAGCGATGATAAATGAGTTGGGTGGAGTGGTGGCTGCAAATACAAAGATGGAAATGCTGGCAACACATTTCATATCAGTGTTGCCAAATGATACATTTACGGGGATGATGGTATGCGCTTTAGCGACAGGCAAGTCGTTGCTACATATAAGCTTCGTCTATGACAGTTTTAGATGCAAGAAGTTTTTACAGGTAAATATAGACAATTAATAGGAATACTAAAACTAAATAGTAATAGAATAAGTAGTAATAAAATTAAATTAATTGAATTGCGTTTATTAAACGATTCTATAAAGAAAACACGTTACTTAAAACATAACAAAAAAAATCTGTGCCTTCGCTTTACGCTCTTGGATTTAATTAAATTTATGAAATTACAAAAATGGCGGGCTGAAGCGCCATTGAATTATTAGCATTTTAAATTTTTCAAAAGAATTAATTTAACAAAATATGTACCGTATGATGTACAGACAAGCGGGTCCGGATGGCTAATAATACTAGTTAATAATTAGATTACATAAATTATTAACTAGGAGAAAAAGCACTACACACTTTTATACAATATTATATGTCATCATCATAAATGGCTCCGCAAGTACACTTCGCCATCGCAAT